CTGGAGTAATCAGCAATCTATGGAAATCACAATAATTCATTTCTGTGTGGCTGACAAACCATAATTAGCTTTACTGAACCAACAGTAGTGGAGAGAAGCTGTATTAGTGAACACAGTTGGTGAGTTCATTGGCATCAACCCCAAGAGATTTACATTCTCTCCATGTTGTGGAAGACGGTGAGAGAAGAACAATCTCGAAATGCATTCGAGTAGTCTCAAAGGTTGCTCTTACCCACACTGGTTCTAGTGGGACCCTTAGATCAGCTGTGCACCAGACCAGAGAGCCCGGACATCTCGCTACCTACCACCCCTCTTGCTTTCCCACAGGCCCTGTCCTGGAAGCCAGAAGATGTGGCAACCACCTCTGAGACTCCTGGGACTGATATGGCATTAGCAAAGTAAACAGGTTCTTCACTGACAGTAATTTCAGTCTGCACCATCATGTCCTAAAATCAACTTGTTTTGCTTATAAATTAGAATATAAAATAGCATCTACTTTATAAATAATTTTTTTACAATATTTCATCAATTTTCATTTAGTGGAAACATATAATTTTTTACGCATTTTGATACAAACATCACAGTTCTATGTAGTTAGACATATTCTTCATACTGTAAGTATAGTACAAATATGCATTTCACTGATTTTGTGAATTAGTTAAATCTAGTTAATGTGTCCACAGCATTTAATAAATTATTGCTCTAATAATTTTTACTTTAAACTGCTAGAAGAAAGGAAGTGCATTTTTATGGTAACATTTTCCAAATTTCCATTAATTTGGCTTGCTGGAAAATGTTCATTCCTATACCAAACTTTTAATTACATGTCTCAGATGTGTACTTTTAATTAACTGATGACATTTTCTTTGTTCAATTCTTGTAGTTCAATACAACTGTCATAAACTTATAAATTTTAATTAAAGCTGCCCCAATCTCTAGCTATATAATGTTCACATAGGAATTTGCCAAAAGGCTTAGCAGTAAGTAAGCCAACAGTGAATAATCCCTGAATTGCCAGTGGGATTTGTTTAACAAATTAACATTTGTGTGCAGATAATGAGGTTCTACAGTTTACCACATCCAGCAAAGATTTAGCACAATCATGTTTTAAAAAATGAGTAATACTCTGCAATTTACTTAATTGGTTATCACATTACTATTATATATTAGGTGGTGAAAGAGAATGGGATTTACACATTCACTAGAACACACACATACACTAGAAGAGTACTTTATATGCTGTGTCACTTTATTTATATCAGAACATGATGAAAGGTTTGCTTTCAGAGTCTTTTTCCCTTGGTTTTTGAGCCAGAAGCCAACCATAAGGAAATTCCTTGACTTTGAGGGAAGTCTCCCAGCAGCGGGAACCCTGCAGAAGCCAAATTTACTGTCAGTCCTTAAGCTTTCCAAAGGGCATGCATGTAGAATGACACTCATCAGATGAACTGTATCAAGGTTCTTTAAGTTGGATAATATATGAGAATCAATAAGGGCAATCAGAGCTTCTAAGAAAGACACAGTCAAGCAAGCTGAAATTATCATGGGTCATTCATGTTTGGCGAATAGGATTTGGATTGGCACTCACCCACATACGGCTTCTGCAACTTTCAGAAGAAAAAGCTGCTTTGGTTTGAACAGAAGTAAATTTTTCTTAAAAAAAGTGAAAACCAGGAAAATACTTGTGACTGATTGCATCAGTTTAGCAGGACAGTTTGATGAGCCAATTGTAAAATGCATCAAAAGTATAAATGCTGATTTTTGAGGAACTGGTTATGAGCATTGTAGTATCAGAAGTGGTACACACAGATAGCAATAGCACAGTAGAAGAAATTAAGATGATATTGAGCTGACTTTATTTTCAATAGTAACTTTATACTTTGCAGAAATGTGAGAGAATTCTCTACCAAAAAAAAAAAGACCCTAAACAAATAAAAAAATAAACCTCAAACAAGAGTGCAATGTACCTATTGCTAGAGGACATGTCAACCTGGTAGGGTTATTATAAATCTGGACAAAATATAATGCTTAATTTCCACAATAATTAAGGAAAAACTGAGCAATTCTTGGTAATAAAGAACATTTATATTCCTATATGTTGCAATATGCAAGAATAAAGTAACATATCTGCTAATGGCTCTCCTATGAACCTGACAAAGCAGATCAACTCTGCCTTGAAGGCTGAGACAATGCGAAGGAAGGGGGGGAATGCTGCTCCGCTCTGGATTTCACATGCTCAGTCCAGACTGGGACTGGTGTGTGCAGTCCCCGTGGTGAATTGTGCTCTCACTGATGTGATGGCTGAATGACAGCTTTGCATAGAGGAATATTTGACTGGGAAGAGGAAATGCTTGTTGCAAAAACACTCAAGGAATTAAGCTTTGTTGACTTAATTACAGTTTACGATACTTTTGGGGCACCCAGTTTAGCTTCCTTCTGTAAGATACATAATGGCTTTAGTATATCATAGATCAGATTAAACTTGGATAAGGGGACATCTCACTGACATGCTAGTTTGTTTCAGTAATGCACGATTTATGGCCTGATATAGATAAGAAATGAAGTCTGATAAGAAATAGAGATTTCTTCTTAATAGAATATTTACAGGGTCCAGGGGCTAGGCATGCAAGGAAGATGAGTTGTGGATCAATTTGAAAATTTTATCAGGAATGCTGGATGGAGTCACTTTGATTTAGAAAGATATACGGTCCTTTCTGCCACATCTCCAGCACATGAAAGTTAGGGCTCAGGCTTCAAGGCTTGGCTACCCTCATGAATTGGAAATGGCAGACAGGAAATCTGCTGAAGTTGAAATATGATTCTTAAAACTTTGATGAAACTGGGAAAGTGGACAAAGCACAGCAGAAGAATATACCTGTTAGCAAATATGCCCAGCAAGAGCCACCAGAACCAGCTCTATGGTGGGCTCACTCATAAAATCTTGGCACACTTTGATCATATGTGGTATAGTAAACTTCAGCTGCAGTTAAAGGTTCGGATTCCCAAAAACTGAACAAGGATTGTGGACTGTGGCATCATCCATGCTGACTCTCCTGATGCACTTTTGGTGCAGGCCCATGATCCTGTTTGAGACCACACAGAAATAAGGCCCATGCCTGCATCTCCAAGCCCGCTGTAGCAGCTGGGCCACGATGAACAATTTTATCAGAAGTACATTGTGGAATCTGCTCACATGTCTCCCCTACTCACTGGTGACAAAAACTACTACACTAATTACTTCAGCAAGGCTGAGAGAGTTCACAGGCTGGATTTTGCAGGAAAATAAAACATAAAAATACCCAGGCAACAGCATAGCTGTGTAAGCACAGCAAGTGTTAGCTGCCTGGTAAAGAAAAAACGAGCTACTGGAGGTGAGCGAGCCCTATGGCTAATGCCAAAAGTAAAGGATTAAATAAAACCCTGGGGTCTCAGCAGGATTCAGAACTGAGCTGAGTTCTAGCAGCTAAGTTATTAATTTTATGAAGCCTTATAACCCCACAAAAGAATCAACTAAATGCCAGACACGTAAAGATGTGGGAGTAAATATCTTCTCTTCAGATGACAAGGAAGTTTTGCATGTCATTTGAATCACTAGTGACTTTCTTTCATTCACTTACATGTCCTCACTAAGCATGTATTGATCTCACTACATTGATAAAAATCTCTGTTTATCATTTGTGTCAGTAGTTACATCAGCTGTTAGAATTAGTTTCAAGTATAATTAATCAACTTCAAGTACAAGTAATCCTCATTTTCCAGTATTTAGTCATTATTAGTGATGTTAACTATGAACATCGTTATTAACCCTCAGATACTCAGAACTGACAAATCCTCTGCTTGGCATGCAACAGATAATGACATTTGCATTCACTTGGACTTTCACCACCACATCTCAGTAAATAAGAGGAGCCTCCAGAGAAGCCAGCAATTGAAACTAAATTACTAAACCATATAAGCTAATGTTAATTACTAAGAAGTGCTGAGGAAAACATTCAGATCTAAGCCCCTTTTGTCACAGAGACTAAGATACATAATTCTGCACTACAGAGAGCTCTTTCTGTTTGTGCTAAAGTCACAAACTCCTCTTCTAAAAGTCAGGTGCCTGTAATTTTCCTTCAGAGATCAGGGAGTCAGTCACTTCATCACACAGGAGAAAATGATTCACACCATCTTCAGCAGCTGATAGGCTTCTGAGAAGAAGAGATTAGACAGCAAACTCTTCTCCAGCTGTTCTACTTTGAATCAAATATTTAAAATACTCCTTGGAGGAGAAAATAAAATGCAACTTCTCCTTTCTCACCAAATTACTAAATTTTAGAGTACTTCCTTACATGCTTTCCCTCTCTAGCCCAAACACTGATTGCATTATATAAGCTACGACCAGTTACATATTAGGGACAAAGATCAACTGTCAAATATCTACTTTTTGACAGTTACAATAATCTCCCTGAAGATAAGAGATGTAATTTCAAATTCCTTCAGGAAAACAAAGGATCCGAGTTCTGATCAACCAAATCTTCCTGAGAATTAGATGAGTAAAATGCTTGTTTTGTGAATTCCAGCAAGATAAAGGTAGAAGACTGAGGTTACACAACTCAGCAATTTAATGCTGTATGCATGCATGTAAAAATTTGGAGGGAGAATTGAGATAAAGAGAGAGCAAGACATGTGAGGTTGTTCCAGATACAGTTTGACTGGACTTTATGCTTTACAATTCCATTTCTATACCTCTATATGTGCACCTTTATACCGAATACTTATTTATAGGCCTCCTTTTCTGGGACGCAGCTTAATTCTGCTAAAACACTGAATGAATGAAAATGAATGAAAAGCACTATTGATTATAAAGTATGGTATATATTGCTATTTTGCACATTATTTAAGTACAGGCAAAGCAAATAAGCTACAAAGAGGAAAAAATAACACAAACAAGGAACAAATTCAAACCTTTGAATTGAGGCAGGTATAACAGTAAGACATAGTTGCTCAGAAATATTTACCGAGGAGAGAGGCTCCACAGGTTCCTCCATTCTGGCAGTAGTTGTAGCAATGGTTGGTTTCACACCTTTCCCCGGAGTAACTTGGCCAGCAGTGACATCGAGGATCTCCCTTCTCATTTATAATGCACTTCCCTCCATTTTCACAGGTTAATTTACAGGAATCATCTGCAGCAAGAGCACATACACCGAGTTATTTTCAACAACCCCATTTCATGTAACCAGCAAAACAGAACCTTGCATCTGCAACAGAGCTACAGATCTCAATTGGGGTGGTAAAAAACACCACTTTTCAGAATAAAGCTTTTCCAAAAAGAGATGCAGATTTGGTGAGGGTTGCACCAGCTCCTACAGCAGGGCTCAGAGCACACTAGGCAGTTGTGCTTCATCCAAGTGATGCCACTGGAAAGCTGACCTCCTTAGGATGTAAGCTAGTATGAATTCTTGTTTGAACCATCATTCCTACTTTGTGAAATGGAAAATTGAATGTTGGTTTCACTTGGGGGATCTCTGAAAACTTCACATTCATTTTCCAATGACCTCAGCCTTTTCTCATTTCATTTTCTGGATCTCTCTTCCACTCTCTCTATTAACTACACTCTTCTTAACTAAACCCTATCCAAAACATTTAAAAGGAAGCTATTCAGCCTTTAAATCCTTCTCAAAAATTGATATTTGCATACTAACTTGTTGCTCCTAAACCATCTTTTCTGATTTATTCTTTTACTTGTCTGCTCCGTGTGTAAAATCACCGAGAAGAGATACCGCCTGCTGCTCTGCGTTCACCGAGCATTGTGCCACTGTCTTAGCAGTGAGGTACGAGGTGACACAAATTCTTATTAGGCCAGATTCAATCTTTCCATAAAGCTGTTTCCCAATTAGAGTTGTGCCTCTCTTGGAAACACTTTGAAAAATAAACCTCTCTTAATTTCAGTGAACAAGATATAAAATCACACAATGACACCAACAAGAAATTAATTAGACTCGCATGTATATAATGCTCAAACATCCAAATAATTGTAATCCTAAAGAAACAGACAAGCACCTTTCTAGCCCAAAACATGCTTTTAGCAATAAGACTTTTCCTTTCTCACATAGCAAACCAAATCCTATGAAGACAGACTGCTGCCTAACTAATCCAGCATTTGAACCTACGTGGATTTTAACAAGAGGGGTACAACAAACACTGAGAACTCTTCAGTAATAGATCCACCAACCGCAGACATCTTGCTGGATTAATCTGTTTTAGGTAAATTATGTATGAACAAACAGTCAGGGTTCCCATTTGTACTATACTATTTCAGGTCTAATATTGACTGACACATGCACATCAAGTCTTTTTTTTATGATGTTAAAAGAAACACGTCGTGCTGTAAGTGCAGAGTTTAGGAATGATGGATATCGTCTAGCTGAAGTGTTTTCTCCAGCACGGATTCTGCAGAACACAGTAGTATAACTTGCTTTTCTTTGGATGCACCCAAGTCTCTTTCCTGCCTCTGCATGCCCCTCCAGCAGGGTCTGGCTGCCTCCATTAGCAGAGCAGACACATAACCTGTGAGCAAACCTATTTAAACAAAACTTCTGGGAACTGCTAGTCTTTCTGGCAATTGCAGCTCTCCTAAATTAAGCTGAAACTAGACAACAAATCTAAAAGTTACTGTGGGGAACTGACTGGCACATCATTATTTCAGGTGTTTGTTTACAATAAAAATATGAAATACCACACACTTTCAAGTTTTTGATATCCACTCTGTATATAGACATCTGCTGTAACAAAGCTGCTTTGTATTTGGGAGTTTGAGGATGCCTCTGTTTTATTTATTTAGGAGGTTCATTAAATCCTTTGATGTTCCATGAACCATTCTTCAGTTACTCATTATAGAAGTTGTTTAAATGGATAATGTAGCATATCTTATTGGAGAGAAGGTCTATTTTTGTTTTGCTTATCTTATCTGTTTTACTTATCATTAGTCATGCGTTTATAGAGCAGAACTTGGTAAAAATGGAATAAAGAACACTGAAGTCCAGATAAGTGTTCATTTTATGAACCTTGCTGATAGCACATTAAAAACATGTTATACATATCTTCTAGAGCAATTCCACAGAAACAAGACATAAAATTTGAAAAAAAGAGAAAATAAAGGAAATTAAGACAGACTATGAATTCAGAAGGAAAATAAAGTAACAAAAGGCTTATTTAGAATTATAAAACATGAACTACAAACTTGAAAGTGGCCCTAACCACACCAAGAAATGCATGCCTTCTTATTTTCAGGAAAGTATACTGAGCCCGAAATTGCCCACAATAAAGATTTTCTAATTCAATTGGCTTTCAAAGACTGGGACATTCATCTCTCATACTTTAAAATGCAGTATGTGTTATAACTTTATGCAGCGGTCAATTAAGAATGTTCCTGAAAAACATAAAAGTTTGTAATATTTTGTATCATCACAAGATTAGTAAAATTCACTGGTGATTTTAAATTCAAGAGTTTCAACACAAATTTAACGTGAAACAGTGCAAAGTTACTGTAACAATTTTGGACTTGAAATAAGGTAAGAAATAGGATTGAAAGACTTAACGGATATGCCAGTTTTAAAGTACTATGGTAGACTTTAACAATATAGGAGTTTTAATGCTGCTGCTTTGTTGTCTGAAGGTAAATACAAGAATCAAATTACTCTTGCTGATTTACTTCAACTAAGTACAAAAGGGGATCAGAAGCTTTTGTGTGGGAGACAGGAGCAGAATGGTCCCACAGAAGACAGGAAGAGAAAGAATACAGGAGAGAAACACAGAAGAACTGTTATAAAAAGCTGAATAATCTTCATTTGAATTACTGGATTACCTCTGAAAGAAATACTGGGAAAAGTTCTGTTGGAACAAAGTTTTAAAACAAGAAAAAACAAATTCAGAGAAGTTTCTATCTGGAGTCAATTCAATACTGGTCTGAACTTGCTGGGACTCAGACTCAGACACCTCTCAACTACTCTTTTCACTTCTGAAATGACAGAAGTAAATAATTTCACTTGCTATACCACTCCTAGTCTAGCTACTGGATCTCCCTAACATAAAAGAAAGGAAAAGGTTACAGGTCATGTAATTTTATATATTCTCTCCTAGTCTTGTTATTTAGTCTTCTGCTGCCTTCTTCAATAAAGAATTAAAAAACTTTGATTTGCAGTTTTTCTTATTTTTTTTTTCTTCCTGATATGACTGTTTGATAGAAACTTTAATGGACTTACAGCTTATCTGCTCCATTTTTGACTCTTTCATTTAACTGAATGTAAAAGGAGAGTCTTACACTCGAGAAACACTGACAAAGCAGCAAAACTAAGCTTTGTGAACGCTACTGGTATTTTTTACTCCACTCATACAATTTTTTGACATTCCATCCCTCTCCCCCAATCACACACAGACACATCTTTTATTGGCATTTCTATAACAACCCCTTCTTCCTTAAGAAAAATACATCTTACTTTTTGCTATTTTTTTTTCCCCCTAAAAATACCCACTGATTTCCAGACCAGGCAGCTCAATGGAGAGAGGACGCTATGGGGCACAAGGTTAATGAACTTATTCTTCAGGACAAGAACAGTTTCCCTCCCCACAGCAGAAAATACTCATCTCATAGGGCACAAAGTATTTGTTCTTGTCTATCCTTCAGAGAAGGGTGTAGCCCATCCTTTACTGAGCTGAATGCACCTATTGAAGTCAGAGTACAGAGTTATAAACATATAGTCAAGCTGTATAAATGATCCTGCCCCTCTGGATGAGGGTCTTGCTACCTGCCAGTTTTCCATTTGCTGAAATTTATCAGAACAAGTTGTAATTCACAAAATGTTGTCTGAATGTTCTAAAACAGACCCTCCTCCTTGTAGTCCCTTCACTTTTTCTTTTATTTTAAAAATCTGTTTGCTTTACAATTTTAAATGGAAGAGAAGGGCTAAGAAAAGAAGGAACAGTGAGAAAAAAACCTCCCTGACATCTGCTGTAATGTAACCCATTTTCTTCTGTTCTGGTAAATACCAGTCTGAATGATAACTCCTTCGTAAATACAGAGGATACTGCTGTAAACAAAAGATTTTTCTCAAATCAGAAGTAGCTTTCTGTATTCAACCCTGGACTGAAAGCAGGACAGCAGTCAAGAAGACAGCATGGATTGAACTGCTATAGCTTGTGCTAGTACAGCTCCCTGAGGCAGACTTTGTGGGTGAAAGAGAAGGTATATAGGGATTAACCTCTACATCCCCAGCCAAAGCACTTGGGTCTGCCTGCAATCTATCTGTGCAGTGGGCAAGTCTCCACAGAAATGTACTGAAGGAAACACCATGATAAATTTAATATTTCATCTCTGTTCAGAAGCAACATCAGATATAAGTCTTTGTAATTTTTCTCATGCTTTTCATCCAGCCAAGAGAGCACAAATATTCACTTCTTCAAATGAAAGTGATAAACGTGCTGCTCCACAATACTGAACTCTTGGCAGTGCTAACTACTCTTGCTCATTCAGCTGTGGTGCACACTGTCTTCCTCCAGTGCAAGTCTCTGAATTTTCATCTTCTTGATATGCTTTTATCTTCATCACGCTACAGACAATTAGATCCAATAACTGTAATGGATGCAGATCCAGTGGTCTCTTTCAGGAAAATGAAGTGGTACTCTGCCCATTGCAAAACGTAGGGGTAACTTCCACACTGAAAAAGTCAGGGTTGCTAAAGTCAACAAATAAACCACAAAAGAACTCAGCTCTGTCAGTCATGATCATCTAGGGATAAACGAAACGGAAGCTTATCTACGAACATACAGGAACGTGCTTTCATTTTGTTATAAAAACATTCTGAATGACACAACACACATATGTTGTAATATCTCTAGCTTGAAAAAGCCAAATCAAACCAAAAAGCTGATGCTCATCAGTCGGGTGAGATGCTGGTGAAACAGCTGTCTGAAGCAATCTGGATTCAGTCTTACAGAAAGCCACTGAGGATTCAATAATGAGAATTTCTTGTTTAGAACTTAGGAAGAAAAATAAACTCAATGGATGAAGCCAGTAGTAATGTTATGCAGAATTTCAAGACTTAGCTCAATTTTCTTTTGTTAAAAAAAAACCCCAACAATCCAATGAACAGGAATCGTGAGTCAGATTTTGGGATATAGTCACAGAAAACAGAGCAAGTCCTCTCAGTCACCAACCTTAAGGCAGACTGACTACTAAGAAACTGTACAAGGTGTGCAAGAATCTTTACATTAATCAGGCCCAAAACTACCAAAAAGAAGAAGACATAATAATGTTGAAAATAATAATTATTTGTTATTGACTCCTAAGTGGAGTGTCAATTGAGAAAAACCATTTAACAGCCCCTTCATACTTTTTAAAAAAGTCAAAATACTGCAAAAATATACACTTGTTAGTGTGCTATAATACTAAGACTTGTTTCACTATGTTGTGGAGTCTCCTTCTCTGCAGACATTCAAAACCCGCCTGGCCGTGTTCCTGTGTGACCTGGTCTGGGTGATCCTGCTTTGGCAGGGGTTGGACTGGATGAGCTTTCAAGGTCCCTTCCAGCTCCTATCACTCTGTGATTCTGTTTCAGTTTATAATTTATAAGGCTACAAAACCTGCAATCTAATATTACAAAAACAATATACAAGAAAAAATGCACTAAAAAGCCTATGCTAGATATTCCTTGAACTATAATTGTAATCAGAAAACTAAGAAACACTTATTCAGCAGCCCTTTCAAAAGGCATAACAGACACTGCAGTTATAGGAAGATACTGAAAATTATCAATATATTAAAAATGCTTCTCTAGGCATTTTCTGTCTACCCATAAAAATTTACAACCAGCAGTGAAATAATTTAAAAGCCTCTTCAGATCTGTCTCCAATAAAAACATACCTTCCTGAAAATTCTATCACGGCATAATCCTTTGCCCCACTAGTAAAACTGTAGCATTACTGGAATTCTAGTTACTACCAATCCCCAGTAAAAAACAATATTCTTTTATTTGCCCTTTCTTCAACACCAAAGCAGTAACTTTGGGCCATTTGAGATAATTTTTAGGTGGCACTGAATCAGCAGAAAATCCTGACAGTATCCATCTCAGAAGGACAACGAGCTGACATGTGGAGAGGCAGGGAGGGTGGATGCTCTCTGAAGATAAAAGGTGTTTAAGATTGATTTGTTTCAAGAGTCAGAAATCTTGTACAGTATAGTCATGTTTTCTATTATATCTACTTCAGTGACATCACTTCTCTCCTAACAGCAGAAATTGTTGTAAAACAGCTGTAAACTACTTCATAGTTGTATATTTATTATATAAATAAATACTGATAGATATTCAGCCAAGGGTGTACAGTGATAAGATTTCATTTACTGTTTTTTCTAGAGCACAGTGTAGTACATCTAAAAGTTGGTACTGTAAATGTATTTCATACAATGCACATGCACATAAACTTGTTATCTAGGACAAATTTTCTAATACTGCTTTAGTCTCTAAATTATTCTTAAATTTCTAAATACAGAAAGAGAAATGCTGCTAGACAGGATAGCTTTATTAATACATCATAAACCACTAAAACACAGTTATGTTAATTAAATATTTAAAGACTAGGCAGTATAAATAGGTGAGATTTTCTCCACGGAATAATGACATTTCAGGTAAATTAATTTAATTGCTAAATTGAGCATTTTAAGTACTGAGGATCTCATCAAAATACCTATCACTTACACTTCTGAGCCTGGAATTAAACATTAGAAAAGCATCTTAATACATTCTGACTTCTCATACGCATAAGAAATCTTATTCTATGATTTCTAGAACATTTTAAAATTCAAGCTGGTACAGAATTCAGTCCTGCAGTCTGACTATCTTAGGTCTAGCCTCAAATAGGGTGGGAATAGTTTTAGAGCACTTATTCTTTTATTTTCACAATTCTTTTTTTCCCCTAAATTATAGCAAGAACTCAATAGCTCCTTTACTATGAAGTCTGGTTTCCTGTGTCTTATTAATCATTACAGGTATTACTGAAAGACATAATTTTAGACAAAAATATTTTAGGGTTTTTTGTCTTTTTTTTGCCTGTTACTTCAAAGCCATAACTATTTGCAACATTGTTCTTACTGCTTTTTGACTATTGCTGCAGTCTAAGCAGAGGTGCTTCTTGATGATCTTCAAGGTTATTTTTCTTCTCCAGAATGGCTGATGTTCAATTTGGAATCCAAAACGCTTCAGAGCTTTTTAAACTTCTTTTGATCGATATATACAAATTCACTTTTAAATATCATTTTGTATCAGTTCAGCTGAAAGCTCATTTTTCATTATGATGAATATAAACAGTTCTTTTGAATCAGGGATTTTGCTTCTTCATATTTCATTTCCATTTCAGATAAGTAATACGTATACTGAATATCATCACAAAACTCTTGACTTGCAGACAGCCTAGCCCTTTGCAATGACAAAAACTGAGCAGCTGTTTATTTTCTGGTTCTTGTGCAGTTTTCAATACTTACCCAAGAGGCTCTGATCAATGCATGTTCCATTCACCAATGATTTCCCTTCTGGACAAGCACACGTTGCTCCAGAAGGGTTAAGTAAGCAAATGAATTCACACGTCAGGTCCAAGCATGGATTAGGTACTGTTTAAAAAGAGAAAATATTAAAAATATTGAGAGTTTTTTACAATTACACTGTGCTTTAGAACTAGGAAGAAATAACTAATCAGATATAGAAATTCTGTTACACGTCGAGTTTCCAGGATCTCGACAGCCTGAAGTCAGTGAACACACACCCTCAAATGGCAGTGCAAGACTCGCATCAGGATAGAATATACAGAAGTAACAAAAAAATGTATTGGTAATATGCAGTAAAAAACCTCATTCAGTTGTGGCTACAGGTATCTGTATTCAGCTCTCTTTTAATTTTTTTATACCTCATTTACAACGCAGTTACACATGGCAAGCATTGGTCCCAAGTCCTTTCAAATGAGAGAAAATGCATCAAAAAATCTAAATCAAACTTACATAAAGAAATACGAGTGAATCTATTTTCAGACTGTACAATCAAGCTCTGTTTTCTATTCATACAACTTGATTACTTTCCCCCGCCCCCTGCCCCAAGGTGAACTTGCTCAATATTGAGTTTAAAGTAATTATGCTTACTCACAGTCCATTTGTTTGTAGCGGTGAAAAATCAAGGCACTTTTTGCTTTATCAACATCGACACTTAGATATTCTACAAGGCTCCTGCCAAATTTGTGTACTCTAAATGCACCATTTTTAGGACCTGCTCCATAAATGTAATCCTCAAAAATGTCAATTCTATGTGGATGGAGTAAACCTTAAATAAAAATGAACAATAAATACAAATACATATCCATATTCAGATAATAAACTACTTTGTTTTAATAACAGCTACAATTGCGGTTACCACCTAAAGACATTATTATTCAGACAGCTTGTTTTGTACCCACAAAGATTGCCTTTAAAAAAGCAATCTTCTTAAAAGGAACTCCTTCTACACTATAAACAAGTAAAAATCTCAAGCTTTGTATTAGCTTTCCATGCAATTTAGCCTCAGAAAGTGGTTGATTATGGAAAAGCAGAGAAACCCTACAGTAGCAACTAGCTAATTAGAATATACTTAGATACAACACTTTAACTAAAAGTATAAGACAAGGAAGAAACAGTTTATCTTGCTGTACACGAAAGACTCTTCTGACAAAACATTTCTTCAGCTCCTTCTTAATATATTTGAAATGCTAGCTTTCATACTACACTTATTTTAATTCAAAATTATAGGAAATTAATACAAAATAAAATGCTAAGACTCCACCAATTCCTCATTTTTAAGAGCTACAGGTGCTGATTAGATCACAGAGTTGGATGCACAACTGCCTGTAGAATTCCACATATTTACCCACATAACAAGGCAATAGATTCTGACTAAACCTTCTTTGCCAGAGATTCATCTCTTCTGGAACTGACACCATAAAGAAACAGAATTCTATCACTCCTTGTGATCCCGTGTTCCTATGATTATCCCCATTTACAGTAAAAATGGTTTTATACTTAACTTTTTATTTTTCACTATTTATTTAGTTTCGATTTTCAGCCTTTATTTGTTCCTACTGATTTTCCACTCTATCAACACGTGTTAGTTTTAATTTAATAAAAACATCTATGAACTTTAGTTCATTATTTTGTGCTTGTTTAATTAAATGGGATGCTGGTTTTAGTCTCATTGCAAAGCAATTTCTAATCTCCCCCAATATTTCTTTTGTACTATTTCTCAATTTTTTCCATAGGTTGCACAAATGTCAACAGGAGACAAAAGGTGACATTACTTTAGTGATCTTGTGTTTCAGTATTAAATGCTACATATTTAAGCAACGAAGTCTCTACGTTCCGCTTTTCCCTTTATAAAGCCCAAATTTGCTGTGTTTGGCAGTGTAGTATAGCCCTTCCATGCTATAAAATATTCAGAAAATCCTCAACTTGCATGCCTTCTATTGTGTAGCACTGCTATGTCTTTTTTATTTCTTTTCCTTGAAGAATAACCTCACATTTATTCTTAAAATACAAATGACTGTTGAGACACATTAAAACGCAACATAGGATAGTCTGTCGGTCTTGGTAACAGCCATAAGCACTGAGCACAAGCACTAAGTATGATTTTGTGCTAGGTTACAACCTAGCCACCACAAAATGCTATAACCAGAGGAGGTGCAAGCAAAGTTATTAGGAGTTATGGTCTTCTAAAATCTCTTGTCAGGCGCTAGCACGGTATGGTTTGGTTTTACAGGAGGTTGTAGTCAGATCCCTACACTCAAAGTGATCTTTCTTGAGATGACTACTCCCATGTGTATTGATCCAAGCTGTGAAATAAAATGCTAATAAACCAGAATAAGATGATTTAAATCTGGCTCTGCTCAATTTGGATTATGGGAGACTTTTTCTAGTAGCTTCCAGAACCCCTAGTGAATTCCAGGTCATTGGTTAAAACACACCGTAGCACCAGATATAATATCATCCTGACGAAACTCCACTACCAACAACACACTAATCAATCCTGCCAAAAAGTCTGCTTCCAAATTTTTGTAATGTTTCCTCTCTTTGGTACTCAGATTTCATAAACTGTTACACATATTATCAAATCATTAAAAACCCAACATCCAATCCTACAAAAATAAAGTTTGCTTAACCAGAATCTCTTTTCTTACGAAAGGAACTTTCCTCATTCACATTCTGGTAGCAGAATTCTGTGATTACTTACTGACCCGAAAGCCAAACCCATTATTTTTCCCAGAACTGATTTAGGTCAACTGTTCTAGAAACTGTACAATTCCTGTGCAATGCAGACAGCTCTAATTTCAAACCAGTCAAGGTGCTCCTGTTGCTATGTAAGTCCAAGTGAGGCCAAGCATAAATATTAATCACGATGTTATCTGATAATACTTAAGCTAATGATTAGATAACAAACTTGGAGATTTGCACATATCACTGAAACTTTGTTCCCCTAAGGTAACTTTATCAGATTATTTTAAAGCTAAAATTATCTTAATTATCTACTGGATTAGGTATCTGAAGTATTATCTGACAAAAGCTATGAACATTATTTAATTATCACTGCTTTTTGCTTACATAGTTTCTCTGAATAGTGAAACTTTAGCCAAATAAAACAAAACAGAAATCTATAGAAGCTCTCCATACCTTGTTTAGTGCTCACAGACACAACTGAATTGGAACCATCAAAAAGAACACTGCCAATGACAGACAATTCAAAATCAGCCCAGAACAAACGCTGACTGAACTGATCAACTACGAGACCTACAAAAGAAAACAAAGTTCAAAGAGGTACACAAAACCTAAAAAAAGATAAATTTATGTAGCTGTACATTTTTGTATCATTCATATTACTGCAAACACAAAATACGGTGACAATGAAAGAACGTAACTGGAAATCAAGGAATATAAAACACAACACTTTCTGCCTAAACCTTCCCCTTGAGGCAACTGTGGAGTTTTACTTTTTTAACTCTCTCTACCAAGGTCAGTACCTTTTCAAACCCATTATCCTCAGCAGGTAGGGATATACACCAGATGGGAATTAAATATAGAAGCTAATCCTGTAATTTGCTCTAGCAACGAAAGATCTATTATGTCAATAGATTTCTCCATCCAGCTTTGGGGCTTCCAATACAAGAAGGACACGGACCTATTGGATTGGATCCAGAGGAGGGCCATGAAGATGATCAGGGGCTGGAGCATCTCTGCTATGGGGACAGGCTGAGAGAGATGGGGCTGTTCAGCCTGGAGAAGAGAAGGCTTCAGGGAGACCTTATAGCAACCTTCCAGTACTTAAAGAGGGCCTACAGGAAAGATTGGGGGGGACTCTTTTTCAGGGAGTATAGTGATGGGATGAGGAATAACAGCTTTAAACTGGAAGAGGGTACATTTAGATGAGATATTAGGAAGAAATTCTTTACTTGGTCCCTCTACTGCAAGGGTAGTGAGGCCCTGGCCCAAGTTGCCCAGAGAAGCTGTAGATGCCCCCTCCCTGGCAGTGTTCAAGGCCAGGTTGGACGGGGCCTGGAGCAGCCTGGGCTGATGGAAGTGTCTCTGCCCACGGCAGGGGTTGGACTGGGGGAGCTTTAAGGTCCCCTCCAACCCGAACCATTCCATGATTCTAAACAGTAGCACCAGTGTGACCAAACGTTAAAAACAAGACATTCAGGTGTCAGTCTTCATAACTCATCCAGTTTTCACAAGTATATAATTGTGTTCTTTTTTTTAACACCAATACTTCACATATTGTAAGTATTACAGAATTAAAAATCAGATTATTTTAATTACATTATTGCTAAATAAGACTTAAGAGCATTATTGACAGAGGTATATATTTACATGCATATGAAAGCACAAGAGTGACTGAAAGCACAAATGAGAATAAAAGATAACATTAGGACTACCCAGCCTACAGGCAATACCTAAATAGTTAAATCAAGCAGTCCATTTTTCACAGAACATGATTAAATGATTAATATGCCACTTTAGGTCAAGTCAAAAGCTTCAGCCTGAAAAAATATTTGAACTATAAAATAATCTAATTCTGAGCTTTTGAAGTTGTGGTGTATTTTTAATAAGAATGGGAAAAAGTATTTTTCTTCCTATTTATGTAAGTAGGTAAGTCAGAAAAAATACATCAAAAGAAATTATACATAACAGCAAAAACAGTCTTCTTAAGGTCATAAATTAATCAGCTACAGATGGATGAGAGGAAATGGAGGAAGTTTGATGTATAGACCAATGAAATATGTTTACATTTGCAACTCCATTAAAAGAAGAAACCTCTTTCAAATAAATACTGGTATTCAGGCATACAGCTAAAGAGAATAATTTCTGGTAAAAGAAAATCACGATGTGTCAACTCTGTGTGATACATGATACCTGTAAGGGGGAATATTTTAGAAGCAGTCCCCACTCTATATCTTTAAATTGTTCTTTGCATTTTAGTAAGAATATATAAATGTAAAATAATAAATAAATAACATTCTCAATGTATCTTTCATGGTATCAGAGATAAAACAATGCAAAAAAGTACTTATTTTTGTCTTATACATATAGCACTCCTGTGATAATAAATTTTATGTAAATCTTGTGAAGTCAAGCCCAAATGCTCTCACTCTCACTCTCTTTTATTTGAAACAGAAACTAAGAAAGACATATTTAGTAATAAATTTAAGAGCAGCGGAACAGAGATGTTCAGTAAAATCTTAATCTAAACAATATTCATAAAGTCTCATTTAGGAGGAAATATTAAAGACATAGGAAAAAATGGCTTGGAGTCTTTCTTCTTTTGCATTTCCTCTATAAAGACATAGATCTATGTGAAATATTTACAAAAGACTCCATATATGTCTACTTTCTACCATGAAGCAAAGGAAGAGAAGCACAGAAAGATGTCACAGAAGTGTTTTCAGGCACTAGGTACAGGAAAATCCAATACCATAGCTAGGTAATAGTTATTATTAAGGTAATAGTTGATATTTATTAATCTTGGCACAAAGTCAGAAGCCTGGTTAAATCTTTGTATGAAAGTTTTCTATCTAAAAGGAGAGAATCTATCTAAAGGAAAATTTTACAAAGAAAAGCTCTTACACATCTGCTTTTGGTCAAGGAAAAAGTAAATATATTTTCAGATAAGTTTAATACCATTATTACCTACAAAATTCAATGAATTCAATAATCCAATACAGGCGCGGGGAAAAGGGTTTAAACGCCCTTTAATGACAAAGGAAGTGGTGACTGGCTCTGTAGGACATAACTTTGGTAATCAACCAGACAGACAATAAAAGACAAAAAAAGCAAAATTCCAGCAATTAGAACTAAGTCTAATGATTTGCATATCTAATATGATCACAATGTTTTATATAAGAAGTTCAGCAAAGAATATATAACAACTCTGATACACATAAAATTCTGTTATCTTTCAGTCTGAACAATCAGGAGCTTCTTGCTGAGCTTACTATTGACTATATACTCTATTATTAGTAGTAGTAGTAGTAGCAGTAGTAGTATTATGTTTCTTATTTACATCAGGAGCATACACTTCCTCTCCTCAAAGCTTTCTTTATCACATATTTAATTTCTTAAGTTGCTATATTTCAATCTAATTGTCTCAATAAAGAAAGAGTGTTAGGAATGAGTGCATCCCGCATATGCAACACCTTAGTATGGGACTTAACAGTCTGTTGAAATATTGTTATTTGTTGCTGTGATAGTCGCAGCTTCTGACAGAGACATTTAGACATTCAAAAGGCATCCTCTTGAAAGAAGTCTATATTTCAATAGCACTGCATACCAAAGTTGGACAACTCCTAATTTGCAATGCAATAATAACAAATTATCACTGTGTGCCTGCAGAAACATCAAATATTGCATGAGAAAATTGGTCACGAACAAATCATTTGTGGTTTGAAGACAGGATGCTGCTATTTAAGAGACACATTTCATTCTGGATTCATCATCTCCTTTGTCATAAAAATTACTTCTATCCTGCCAATGGAGTCTTAATAGTAATTCACAAGATCTCAATGTGGACTGTCAAGCTTCAAAATAGTTCAGTAAAAAAATATCTCAGTAAAATACTGAGATAATTAAGTTGTTGCTTCTTTGAATACTTAAATCTTGGTTTATACTATTGTGCAACTATTCTGAAACTAACTAGAATAGGCTGTGATATTTCATATGCAGTCTTAAAAAATGTGTCTTACCATTAACTGGTGTTCCCTTAAATGATTTTGCTTGTTCAGTGTTATAGAACATATCATATTTTAACTGATTATATATAGTCCATTGGTACTGAGTTGTAAAATCATCATGTTAAGCTTTGTTACAGAAGTTTAAGTCCTATTAGGATATATCATTTGTAAACAGAACTAAGAATTGTGATCAGTAACCAGAATACACATTTCAAACAGCACATAATTTTTTTTGCAAACTGAGAAATAGGAATTCAGCCAACAAATCTACACCAGTAGTTAAGTGCTGCAGAATTAGGAAAAATGGATAAGCTTTTTACCTGTAGGTCTTTGTAAATTCTTTTGAACCAATATCCTTCTCAGAGTACCATCCATAGATGATTCCTCTATGTGAGAGCGATCCCCAATAACTGTCCAGTACATCATCCTAGAAGTATTAAACATAAAAAATAAGCTGGATGCCTATACAGACCCTCAAAACACTTTACTATTACTAAATTATTGTCAGCCCTTCAACCTACCTGAAAGACGGGAGATAATTGATCTTGATTTATGAACAGGTAAATTGAGCAGGAAAGTTAAGTAAATGACTTGGAAAAGTTTAGACATTTAACGTATCATTTATATTAAGATATATTTTTATTTCTCTCACTCTGCTTTGCCTTTTTGTTTGAATTACCCAGACAGAGTAATGTTGGGACAGACATACATACCCCTTTTTAGGATTTACAGCAATTGCGTATGGTTCTCCTGCCATGCTGGTAAGGAGTCTTGTACAGTTAGGTCCCTTCAGCTGACCTACATTGATGGAGTATCTCAGACTGGTCCAATGGGTTGTATAGTAGCTGAACCAATGCATTCTGGAATGATCAGTCCAGTAAATATTTCCAGCAACCCAGTCAACAGCAATGCCCCTAGGTCTTTTGAATTCTGGACACTGAAAGGAACAGATGTTTTAGTCAGATTTATGGAAATGACCTTTCACAGCAGCTGCATCGGCAGAGATTTCTGTAACTTTTTACAGTTAAGTAACTTTTACCTTTAATATGGTGAAATATTTAAAACACTGCATTAGAAAGACATAAATTCCACCTGTAAGAGATAAACTATGTGATCTGCTCACAGTTCTATTCAATGTAGAAGAACAAGTCAATGGTTCAAAACTGTTTTCTCAAGTCTAAGGCTACCTACATTAAGAAAAAGGCACTTAGACATGAACTATTTGAACTGTTGATACTGAGGCAAATAAATGTTACATACTGTAATTCAAAAGGAAAGGAAAAGGAAGAATTAAGATTCTACAGCTATTATACTCTATGCAGAACTGTGGTATGATGTCCCATCCCAAAGCCCTCACTGAAGATGGTGACTATCCTGAGGTACGGCTGCTCAGCAGTCTGCCAAGGATAAATAAAATCACCGCATTTAGAAAATCGCACAATATTACCTCTCTGTTGTGGCTAATACCAGTATGCAATTGTAAGGAAATCTTTCCAATGTTTCTCTTCCCTTGCTGTTAACTGTTCCTGTGCTCCACCACCAATTAAAACTAGAGTGCAACACTCAGCTTCGCAAGTAAAAGAGGCTTAACCTTGTATAACATTAAAATTATAAACTATAGTATTGCTGTCATGATTTCACAGTTATGATTAAGGCCTAGATCCTAAAAAATGGTCCTAAGGATATAAGTGAATATTGCAAATAGGACATATATATATATATATATGAACAAGTTTCTCTACAGTTAATTAGCATTCCCACAGTGAGGAGTGAAACCTTTAAAAGAGGACTACCCAACTATTTCTAACATGAATGCAGCTTATCATAAAAAATTCAAGACCCGCATGAGCTAAATACATATGCAATTGTTTTCCTGTTTACTTATAATGACACTAAGTTTAACTATGAACAAAAAAATGTCTATTACTTGACAAATACAGTAATGGAATTCTACCAAGCCATCTAACTAAAAAACAGGAAAGAAAATCCTAAAATAACTTGTTTTCCTCAGGTGTCAGAGTTCTCTAATACTACAAGACATTTGTAGACTATTTTCATCATAAAATAAAGGTCATCTCATTCTCTAGGTGAAATAATAGGACTGCAAGGGTGAATTTAGATAGTTCATTGCTCATAAACCTTTAATTCTGCAAAAATGTCATAGAATGCATGTTCTAAAGATATACAGAACCCTGACTTTCTATTTAGATGAGTATTAAAGCAGCAAAATCAATCACAGCATTTACAAAACAGTATTTCTTCAAAAACAAGGTTACAGGTTTTTTAAAACCGAAAAAAAATGATGTATCATAACTCTTAGTTATAAAATTATAATACATACGCTTCCAGAAATACCACGACAAGAAACTTTTTTTATTTTTTTCAAGAAATGTAGCATTTGCATGCAACAATCTCTTCTTTCACTTTGCTACATTATCCCAGTAACATTTATGTAAAGGACGAGATACGCCAAAATGTGGGTATCTGCAGATAAGTGTCATTGTATTTTTAATCCAAACTCATTTTAATTTTGGGTAATATGCAGGCACCTGTGTCAAGAATGTCTCGTATATCTCCTCTCATACCTGGAGATCTCCAGTTACTACTCTGAAAACTGCCAGGGTTAATGGCACTTTACAGGAGAAACAAAATGCCACTAATACTGGGGTGCATATTAAAGATCAAACAAACAAGGAGATAACCAGAAGAAATGGAAAAGAGCCATCTGGTGTCAGAAATTAAGAAAAAAGAATTTAAAAAAGATAGCTGATGCCATGGCTCTGTAATTCTCAGTTGTGTTCATCAAGTTTCAGCCTAGCTACACTATATTTCTGATGCCTTGTGCATCTTCTCATACTGTCTAGGAAAATTACTTACTGTAAATGAGCTTTTACCTAATAGCTCATATGGATTATGTTAATTTTTAAGGAATATTCTGCATACAGAATAAGGATGAAAACACAGGAACAAAATCATATTAATATTTTCTATGGTTATTTTAGTCTATTCTGATGCTAAATATAATGTACTACAACCTATCAGAAAAATATGGGGTTTGAAGCTTCTGTAGTATGGTAGTTTCTGCACAACAACAAATCGTATCAGATCAGTGGCTTTTGATCAGAATGTTGCCTATTGTAAAATCTGTTTTAAAAGGTAAAGAAGCAAAAAAAAACAAGAAAAAAACCCCACAAAAAACCCAAACACATAAAAAAGAAAGAAAGCTGCAGTAACAGCTTGGATTTGGAAACCATTCTGATACAATGATAGATTACAGAAAAATTGCTTATCCCTAAAGTTGAGTTTGATTGGAGAAAATATATGTTACGCATGCAGCAGGAACCCATCACTTACAATGCTTTGCATTTTCACACAGGAAGATTAAATTACAAGTCTAATTTACATCATTATTGTTGTTCAAAATATCATCATTAAAAATAACACATTACTAATGTAATGAAAATAACACATTACTAATGTAATGAAAACAACCAATTACTAATGATATATTATTAGAACAGTCAGGAAAAATGAGAAACAGTAACACCAGAAAACTTCTAGGCTTTCACTCGCCGAAATTTCCCACCACAGATGTGCAGCCCAATAGGTGCAGTGGTACACCAAACCACCATTTATATTCCATAATTAGGATGATTTTAGAATCCCAACCAGATGATGCCAGATAGAGAGGGTTTCCTAAGCACATAATTAAACTTCATCCGTACGGACCTATAGCTTTAAGGTAAATACATAAAGTAATGCCATTGCGTTTAAGAACAGTAATAACATTTTGGTGATAGGTACAACAAAAAAAGCAGCAGAAAACCTGTTGGAAGCATATTGCTTAAATCAACAAACAGCTGAAATGAGTGGTGCAGGTGTTCCTTAAATATTCCTTGGGTCTGAATACCTGCTATCATCAGCAAGCGCTCATACAGGAGGTCTCCTGTAATCATGGCATCATGGTGTGTACCCAGACATCCCAAAGTGCAGATCTGAGCTGGAAAAGCTTAAAAATAATATCGCTTTGTCCTTGGAAAACATCTTTTGCATAATTAACATGTCATGAGGCAAAAATATGCAGGCTGGTTAGCTTAACTGAATAAAACAGGAGGGAGACAGAAAACATCTCTAAGGATAACCTAGAAAATGTTTGTAAACCAAACCTTAGGTTTTATAGTTTTCGAACTCCTGTCTGCAACATTAGTTAAATACTAATCTACCTAATTCATACAGTGTGTATTAACAGAACAAATTTAAGCTATGAACTGTTTTAGCTGAGGTTTGTAGAAACATTAAGAGTTTGGTCATCTTTTATAAGTTATGGTGTTTAAATATGAAACCTCATATTTTTAGGAAATGAGAGTTACTGGGTTCTCATAATTTGCAAAAAAAAAAGTGTATTCAGAGAAAACAGTCTAGAAATTGTTTCCATTCACACTGATGCACTGAATTTCACGGGGCTGTAGGGCACATATTGGGAGTATATACACAAGAGCATGGGATCTATCACAAGAGCAGTTAAGGGTCCTTGTTACACTCTCAGAACAGCAGGGCTAGAGCAAGCTGCTAATATACTGACTGAAAAAAATTACAGAATCTATGTTTTTCTTTCTATTATATGGTACGATTATTTTAATGTTGAGCTTTCTGTCCTCTTCCATGAAAAACAGCACTTGAGTTTAAGTGGCAAGTCACCCTGTGCTGAATATTCACCTCGGAAAACTTTAACATCTCTCTCCAAGGACTACGGCAGTAAACAGCTGCCTTAACTCCACTGGAATGCAACCCTCTTCTGCACCTGTCAATAAACTCTGAAGAGTTGATATTTACTGTTTCCTTTAATACTTCAATTTGTGCCAAGCTTAAACCCCTTTTCACAGAAAAATACAAGAGATACTTAAAGCTATTCTCTGAGGAAGGCTCTTGATATGTTAATTCCACAGAGCAATTTCAGTTGAGATGAATTTTTGCATTAATGTAATTACCTGAAAATGCAGGTGACTTTGTTCAAGTTTACTGTCCTGATTTACATATCAAAGTCTAGATATAAAAGTTCTAATGTAACCTTTGAAAACTTATCCATTAAAAACTTCGGTTAAAATTGAGGAATTCTCAAGCTTTTCAAAACCAAATTTAAATGACAATATTAAAGCAACACTAGAAAACCAATTAACCTGCTCATTGGTTATATATAAAGTAATCATATTTGATTATTATTGAAATAATGCTGGAAAAATATGCTGATCAGTTTAGCACAATAAGAAGTAAACACTTCACAAATATAAATGAAGTGTGTCCAAGAAATATTAAGATACAGTCTGTGCATTTTCCACATAAAGATTGGTATAAAAAGCTTTCTGTGGCTTGGATCAAGGATCTTCTCGAGCACTTGCCTGCACTGAAGAGACAGGAGAAAATGTATAAAGAAAACCATAATTTTTTCAATAATTTTGAATTAAGAGGAAGTGAGTAGAAACTATTCTTGCACAGGAGTGAAACAGATACAAAAAGCAAAAAGTATTTCAGTTTTTCAGAAAAATAGTAGTTGTAAGAACATCTCAACCCTTGGACTATGAAGAAGTCTCAAGGAAGCTTATGTTCAATTTTATGGGCCTGTAAGAAAGTGTCGATCCATTACAGAAGTTGTGGGTCAGAAGACTACACTGATCAGAAGGCATCTGAATTAACCAGAAAGAAAGAAAATAGATAACAACACAACGCTCCCAACACTTGAATTTCACACGGCTTTACAAGTTGTTTGTTATTTTCTAATGATGAACTCAACACAGAGGTGTGTCTGTCAGGATTTCTTAGGCACAGGTACCTGCCACATTTAAAGGAGAAAAATATACTAGTAGAATTACCTTACAACTTCAATACACAGGTTCTCAAAATATCCTCTGAAACTCAGATGACATACCTGACCTACTAGAAATGCTAAGAATAATGTTCTACTTTTGGTCTATTTTACATGCATGTTCTGTAACCCAAATCTAGACCTCCTTCTGCTGGGCAGGTGGAAGTGTTGGTTTTCAAGCACTCTTCCCACGTGTATGCCGTCAGCGACACAAGGTATCTTCAATGTCCGTTGGTGTCCACATGCCCAGGCTTTTTGCCTTGCTGGCACCAAAGATCAGGAAAGTCGTTTGTTTGCAAAGGAAATATCCTTGGATGAAAGGTAGTTAGAAGTGGTTTCAGATGTGTAAGTCAAGTGATAGATGAAAGATTAGTCTACTGTTGCTACCGCCGTTTATTCCACAGGGCTTATAAAAGCACTCATGTGATGTAAGTTCACCCTTGTTACCTCTCTGAAGTTTAAGGAAATAGCCAGACAGGTGCTATTTCTAACCTGATTTATTACTGGCCACAAAAAGAAAAACCTAAAAACTCTCCTCTGCCATGAAATTTAATAAAAGTGAAAAAAATATAATCTAAATTTACAGCATTATAGAAGCACCAATGTAAAGAGCACATTGTTATCTTCAATTCAGCTCTAACACTTCCTTGAGAATTTTGTAGAAATGTATGAGGCAAAACGAGTATCAATCTGCATTTATTTTATTTTAAAGTAAAGACCACTTGAAATTACCCTAGGTTATAAAAATCCACATTTCTGTTGTAAATTGCAAAATGACTTTTATGCTTATTCAAAAGAACATACTATGCAGTTCAACATATAGAGGAACAAATACTTGTTGTATCATTTGTTAAAACTTTTTCATAGCCTTGCTAATATCATTGTTTACTTGGTCATTATGGAAATCGGGCCTTTCTTTGGACTACCTACATTTCCTGTTTTCCAAGTATTTATAGTTCATGTCTTTCTTTAAACCATGTGTTGCTTATATATGTCTATTATATCTTCTCTTAAAATAAAAGAGTCTTCATGGTATACAGTCTTTCCAAGCCTCTAATTTACCAGTTATTTCTCTGTAGAAAGCTTTTTAAAATAGTATAGTTTTGATCTCTTAGAGACTTGATCAAGACTAAGAGTCTTAAATGGAAAGACATTAGCAGATATACATACCATTTGAATACGATCATTACCAGATAGAAGTTTTAATTTACTGTATCAGCACATTATAGACAATCAGAATAGAAAATTATACAGAGAGAAACTTAGATCATGTAATCTTTGATTTCGATCACTTACTATCAAGCCACTGTTACTTTGTCTTCTCTCTCTGTCATGAAGTTTTCTGTAGAAAATCCCTCCTGGATTAAACTGAGTACTCCAAACAATCATGTCCCCTTGAAAATACACATCCATTCCAGTTATCCTTGAATTATGTTCAATATGTGATATTTGCTGATGAACATCACTGTAGTTGAATGGATATGCAAAACCCAGGATGTCAGTGTCATTAGCAACATAGAGAACTTGATCTTCAGAGCCTAGGGATTATTATAATGAAACAAAAATAAAGTAAATGTCAACTAATGCAAAATCAGTGCTTTTTACTCAAGTAGCTTTTTGGTGTTTATCTGACATAATTTCTTATGTTAAAATTGTTTTCTGATTGTAGAAGACTGCAGAAGCACTCACACTCTAGGCAATAAATGCAACTCTTTGTTCTCCAATTCCAACTTATATTACTTCAATGCTCTCCAAGCTCACATTGTGACACATAGGGCTGTACTTTAAGGTACATCTAATATAAAAATTTGGACACTTTAAGTAGTATACAAAAATAAGGAATATTATGCGTTAAGCCCATATGAAACATTAGATATTTTTATATGCATGCTTTGTCTAGAGGGTCCTAAATGTATATATTAAAGGAACCCAAACTTTCCAATAAGCATTATTTAAAATGATTAATTGGAAATTAGAAGTGGAATGACACTATCTTTAGTGAAGGCAGTGAAGTTTTGAAACTGACTGCAACCTGAGCAAACTGGACCAAAGCTGTTACAGAACATGAGTAGGTTATGCCTTGTATCTCCTCATATCAGATAGTTATCATTTATGGGTACCCATGAATGGGTGGTATTTATGGATACCTAGTTACCATCTTCATTCAGATATTTTTTAAATATGTTCTTCATAAAAAAGTTCTCTGCTATCTATTCATTAAGTTTTGAGAAAGTTTTAAGTGCCTTAGAAGGCATTTGCAGATTTTAGATTTCCAATTTCTATCAAATTTATCCATAGAGAATCAACTTATAGTAACATTTATCCAATAGATTTCCTCCTTATAAGTATGAAAACAAACAAAAAAAATTGTTCCCTCATTTCTGCTAAATACAAGAAGGAAGAGGAGTTCTATTAAAGCAAGTATCAATGAGGGAAAGAACAAACCATCAAGTGTATTACAATGGCACTTAAGCACAAGAAAAATTCAGATGGAGGATAACAATTCCCATAATTTTAAATTATAAACCCTCAGAGCTGTGTCTGTGTTTCTATATTAAAAAGGTTTTTCCCATGTGACTGCTTCTTCAGTAAAAGGCAATGATGCTAAATCCTGATTGAGTCCACATTAGGTACAGAGGAAATTACCGAGTCATTTATATGATTTTCCCATTACAAATTTGAATCACAGAATCATAGAATACCAGGTTGGAAGGGAAAATGTGACCAAAACATGTAAAATACCTGACTGTCACCATCTAGCTACCCAGAATGGGTGTTCCTACATTACTGACTGGTAATGCACCTACATTACTCACTTTCAATGGACCATGATCTAAACAGTCGATTTATATGAGGAATATCTTATTAGGTGACTATACTTACACAAACTCTAATTAAATTACTTATATAAGATCTCTCAACAAGACAAAGCAAAACACATTAACTCCAAATAGTACCTAATTTATTCCTGAAATTCTAAAACATGTTTCTGTGAAAGAGTTGATTCTTCTCTCAAGCTTCTCAAGCGTTACATGAAAGTGGTAACAGTTTAATGATTAACAAAATGAAAGGTAAATTTTAGTGATTTTGAGAATTATTTCTGTGCACTATTCAAGAAATATTTATCTAAAACTAACTGTATATGCAATACATTAGTGTTACCAATCATTCACATAACAAATGATTTAGTACTGTCAATCTGTTTTGATTTTTATAGCCTTACCTTTTGCTATGCAACTGTTATTCCTCTCCTTATAATTTTTCTCGCATGCACATTTATATGATCCCTTAATATTACTGCAGTGTTGGGAGCAGGTACCAAATACCATACACTCATTGATATCTATGAGGAAAAGAATTTTAATTTATATGCCTGTAGTTTAAGACGCTATTATTTAACATGATTGGAATATCAAGTAACAAAGCAGATGAACAAAAGAAACTTGTAAGCATTGGTACATCCTGCAACAGTAAAAGGAAGCCTTCTGCAATTATCATTAATGCTATTTCCACTGTGATCAACATATCTCAGAAAGATATTTCATATTACTTCTCTATCCTTCTAATATCAACCTCTTATCATTAAAGCTTGAAATCAACATCGAGGACAAAAAAATCTGAGTTATTTCCAACATACCTATCTCTGCTACAGTCAAAACTACATGATCTCCCCTCCGACTGGAGAACCTCCTGTGTATACCTTTTTCTTAAGAGCCCAACAATGAAGTATCTGTTAACTTCGGCAGTCCACTGAGGTGATGCCCACCTTCTCTGGAAGTTACTGCTCACCGTAAGAAAATGAATTCACAACCCTGTTTTTGAGAGGGTAGCTTTATCTTCTTTTTTAAATAACCTCTTTCATTATAACAACACACACATTATATATTTCATTATATGCATCACATATTTAAAACTAGATTTTCTAAGGTGTTTTACTTTCAATCTGCTTATTTTATTTTCATTTAAATTTTCAGTGTTAAGCCTCTTCACTATTTTAAAAATCTCAAAATAGTCTGATATACTAATTTTTGAGCCAATCCCAATTGTCCAGTTAAATAATCTGCTAGACCTTAAATCACACATTTACCCCTTAAATTATAAAATCATTTCATGGCCTGATCTAAACCTTTAGACATTGACAACCAGTGTTAATCTTTGATAACCTCCAGGTAGAATGCATAAATCTACATCCTGTAAATCCTTTCAGTTTCTTTTCTTGCTTTCTTAATCACATAGCAATGCAACAGTTTTTTACTATGTGGAAAAAAAAATCTGTGATACGTATCTCCTTCTCTAGCATAGAAAATTGACTACGCAGTTAACTTTTAATACTTTATAGTAAGGGGTGATGGACAAGCGGTGTACCTTCACATTGCCTATTCCTCTTGTTTCTCTGAAATCCAGGTTTACACTGACACAGTAGGGATGTTTTTGTCTGATTACAGTATGCATCATCTCCACAAGGATTCACATTATCTTCACATGTATATTCAGCGACACCTAAACATAAACAAAGTGTCTCAAAAACTAACAATGGAGCTGTTTAAACTGTTAAAAATGAGATCCAAAATAACAACAACAAATAACAGATTTATCTTTCTGTTAAAGAGTATCAGGTAAATTTTTAACAAATATATTTACTTGGTTTTGGATTTACATGCATATGCATAAAAATTGACAGTATTTAATTGAGATAATTTCAAATCAAGAATTTAATACAAAAACTGATCTTGTTGTAAATATGAAATAAAACACAATCAACTTATAGCTAAACTACTTCAAGAACTCAAGAACTACTCTAACAACTACTACAACCTAAAATTCTAAAAAAAAGCCTTCCATTTTGGCATGTCCAATAGAATTGACTCTTTTTTAACTAAAAAATTAACTAACTTCTGCACTGTTGAGTAAGTTTTGCATGGATGAAAGTCTCAGTAATTATTTCTTTTCTGCTACAATCGTGAATATCTTGTCAGCCAAACTCACTTATTTTGCAGTCTTGCTCATCCGAACCATCTCCACAGTCATCAAACCAATCGCACTGCAGCTCCATTGGAATACATTTCTTATCATTACAAGCAAACTCATCTTTTTTACACGGTCTTGCTTTAAATGTCATTTTATCTATATAATTACAAATTAATAAGAGAAAAATAAATCAGTATTGAAGATTCTTAGAATATTTTAGACACATACAAATGGGAATGACCATGAAGCATTAAGAAATTGGAAATTACTTAAAGCTCAATTTCTTTCAGTTTCAAATTCCGATCTACTAACCTCCAGTTAAGCTTTACTGAAGGACAAGCAGATCTCTGTAACAAAGTTTGCCTTCAAGTTGTTTTCTTTGATCTGAATGCCTTGAAAGGTAATATCACCTACCACAGTGATCTTCATCCGAGTTATCACCACAGTCATCAACCTCATTGCAAATCTGCTCAGGTCGCAGACAAACCCTGTTGTTTCTACATCTGTATGGCCTTGTTGGAGGGCATGGAAACTTTACTGTATATTAGAAAAAAGAATCAGCTATTACCCAGCTGGTATTCTTGAATCTTCTTTAACGTCTCCTTGTCAAATCAATAAGCAGGCATGGGAACGCAGATATACTTAACATACAAATGGTACTTGATTTTAACTTCTGGTACCTATTGAAATAACACTTGAACAATGTTTACAGTGTAAGTTTTTCACTTAGGGAATGATTTTTTTTTTAATATGAAAAGGGTAATTATACTTCTTGAGAATCAGTAAATACGACAGAAACAAAACAAAGGTAGCCAATCTAGTGACAATCAATATTTCAATGCAGAAGTAAAGGTTTCCCATATCTGCATTTCCTGCAGAAAGATGAATTTCTCACAAATATATTATATACGAATAGCAATAACAACAAAAAAGCTATATCCCATAATTTCAAGCTAATCTTCAAGTCAAATAAAGAAAACTTAGATGCATGTGTCCTTGTATATTTCTGTGTGTTACATGTCATTTCTTGCTCTACTATATGAAAAGCACTGAAAAATTTAATGTCATACCACACATTTCAGCAACTTCATCAGAGTTATCTCCACAGTCATCTTCACCATCACAAACCCAAAAATGTAGCTTGCAAAGGGAATTGTTGCACAAAAACTCATCAGCTCTACATATATTTCCCCCTGGGCAGATGAAAAGAAGAGAGAAAAAAACAAACAAACAGGAAAACAGAAAGACAAAAGAAAGAATGTAAATTCTTTATAAAACCAGTATAATCATGTACTTACCACATACTATCTGCAGAGAATGAATCATGTAGCATAACTAAATAAACAAATCCCAAATGAAAATGTTGGAGAAGCAGAGAGAAATACTCATTTAAAAACCTCTTCCTTGACCATACACTTCTCTCATTTTCTTTTCCTGACTGTTAGCTAGGAGCTATCTATTTGGGCTGACTAGAAAGGGCATTTATCAAAGAAAGACACTGACAACTCACCAGCTAGGCACATTCCCTTTGCATTTAGCTAGGAAATGCTTAAACTATCATTCTATCTGTAACCTGCTTTGGTGATGCTACCTTTCAGAAAAGACCTGGCTGGGTTCATCAGTAATTTGTGCCATCAGAGAATGGTACAAACCAGGCAGAAACACAGGCAAACTTGTGAAAGGCCACTTCATTCCAGGTTTGTTTCACATCAATGTCTGATCCACCACCTATTCCTACTCCCGCTGAGACACACATCATGTTCAGAAGAGACAAAGCAATTGCAGTGCCTTAGCCATGAGGTAAGAGCATTTTTGTCTCCTGAGAAGTAATAGGCTTGGCCAGGCTTGCTACATCCCCATCAACTATAAGCTCTGTAACTGGGGAAGATCTAGCCATGTAGGCACAGAGTAGATAAGACTAGGTGACCTCTAACAGTCTGTTCCTTTTTGCAACTTCTGAAATTTCTCATTAGGGTATTTACTGAACACAGATGCAGCAAGAATAAATTCTTCTGTGCAACTTCAGTATTGATTGAACTCTGAATCATGCAACAGAACGGGACAGAGGGTGAGAGAAAACATTTTAAGCTGGACTGCTCAAGCTTTAAAAACTGGTTCAAGTTGGAATAATTTTTAATACATGTATCAGTAAGAAGGCATCTTAAAATTATAGCTAAATTTTACCACTGCCAATCAACAAAGTTACAGAAACGTCTTGAAATTAATGTTCTGTATAACATGTTTTTACAGTAACTGGATTCTCAGTTTTCTGAGAGGAGTAAAGTATGAAAGAAATAAAGCTGTGTAACTGCAGAGGAGTAAACAATGATATTTTATATAACACCAAAACTCACTGTGGCTTATCTCAATGCATTACACCCATCCAAATAGTTAGATAAGGCTCAAGGGGATTTTTACTTGTTCATTCAGTGCCCTGTTCACACCCCATTAAAATCAATGGATGGCTTTCTTTCACTGTAAAGGGTTCAAAATGGTTTAAGGGTTGTTTTTCCATAAAATTAATTTGCACAAAATATCCACTGTGTAAGAGGATGTTGAGAACTTTAACACTACGTTACCAAATATAATTCACTCCCATTGCAAATATAACTTACGAACATTGGCAGAAATGTTCCTTAGAATCATCCAAGGAAAAATATATAAAATTCAAGTATTCCTCATGACGAAAGACATGAATATAAATAATTGTGTCTGCAATCACAATATAACCATAATTTAGTTGTATAAGATTGAAAAGAGCTATGTTAATAAATATGCACAGTGGGCTACAGATAAATACTATGGAGATTGTTTTAGAATGCTGCAGAATAAAACTCCATTTGTGTTTGCTGTATTTCCAAAGGGAAAAAAATAGTTATCAGTGTGATAAACTGCCATTTGTTTCATGTGATTGCTCTGCCTGTCATAATTCCTTTATAAAATAGATTGCTAGAACAGAAATCATAATTGTGACATAAATACAAAGTATTATAGCAATAAGCAACTAGGCAAAAGGCTTCTTATTGCATTATAAGCAATTTGCAGTTCACAGAAGCTCCACTATACTACCCAAAGAATAATGTTGTCTTCAGATAAAGTAAGTGCATCACTACTTACTCACACTTCGTTGGTTTTTAAAGAGATAGAGTCCAGATATTTTAAAATGGACTAGAATTTTTTAAAAGCTTTGTTATCTCAGTCTTCTTAAAACAATTCATTCTTCAACACTTCCAAATATGATGTTTTTCTCCTTGCACCTAAACATCTCTGCAACATTATTCCCGTTTTCTTCATTTTCTGCTCTTTCAAACTTATGACAAAATAAGGGAAGGATATTTTACTCTGCAATTTCTTGCTTCAACTCTAATTATTATTATTTATTAGTGTACCTCATTATGCTTTTGAAATTACAGAGGTAATGTCATTGTAGATGACTAATATATAGCAGTACTCATTTTAAAGAAAAAGAAAATAACCGGAAAAAACATGATGCTGACAAAATGCTGAGTAAAATGTCTTTAATTTGAGTGAGACATTCTGTGTTTATCACAATTACTGCATTACCAGGTTTACTGAGAACCTCGTGCAGAGTTGTGCTGCTACTGCCTGATAGCTGAAACAAGGTTCAGTAAAAAAAAAAAAAAGCAATCAATCAGAAATAAAGACTTTTGCATGGTCGTACCATCAGTGGGAATAGTATGAGGAACTTGGCAAATAATCTTTAATCGCATACATCTCTCTGTGTGTGTATATATAAATATACATGAAAGCTCAATTAAAAGGACATATTAGAACAAGATTTGTGAATCTGCAGCAACTGTGAGAATTAGACTAACAGATGTATTTCTCAAAAACATGTTTGGAAGCTTAATCATAAGCATGAAAGTCTGAGCACAGTGTTTAGCTTCGTGTGAATTAACTTATGTGCATAGTTCTGTGGCCTAAGAGAATACAAAATGTAGTTTTATGGGTTCTGGTTAGTTGCAACATTTCATCTCCACAGAAATAAATAGCATATGGGGGTCTTAAGATAACACGTCTAGCAATGTTTCATTATATTGCATGGCTTTGTAATTCATTGTTGCCTATAAAGCTGTAGATCAAATGGACTTATTAACGATTTCTCTGATGAGTCAGAATATGCTTCCAGTAATAACACAACCTTTTGGTCCTTGGGGAAGTAAATGCAAAGAAGGAACAATGAGCTGGGAGATATAAACAACGCAAGTTTTGCTTTGACCTGCAAATTGCTTGTGAAGCTGCTACACCTTCTGTGACCTGAAACAGAGCTTTCATTTCATCACTCGGAATGGCCAGGGTAACAACAGGTCACACTGTGTGTGTTACTACAAAAACCAATTAAGCCTTATAAAGAAAAGCGTGTCTTGCCTTGGTCACAGTTTTCTTCGTCGCTACCATCCACACAGTCATGGATCCCATCACAAAGCCATCTGACAGGGATACAGTAGGCCTTGTTTTTACATCGAAACTGATCTTCTTTACATTCTGTTACACAATCCATCTGTGTGAATGCAGACACCAACTAAGTGTTAATGAATGACAAAACATATTACGGATGTTCTGATACTACTTCTCTACGTTGCTAAGTATCAGCAATCAAAACAATGGCTACAAGAAATACCCCTGGACACGAGGCCAGTTAGTGGGAACTGGCTCATATCCACACTTATCAGGACTTTCTAGAAACCTCCATAGCAGATTGTCTTCACCTCCACCATGCAGCATGTGGCTCAGGCATCCTTCATACTCTAACTGGCACCTTTATAGTTTTGAGAAATAACAACTATTTTTGGTCTTTTTTCTGAAGTTGTTCACAAAGTGGTTAATATTTTAAAAAGACACTGAGAGTGCAAAATTTAGGAAGAGCATAGCATGAAGGCCCGTGGAGGTGCCTGCTAGGATTTCATTAGGTGAATCTAGAGGACAGAGGGAGCCAAATGTGACACAAACTTGTCCACACTGAAAGTACAGAGCAGTTCCTGAAGCAAACTCCCTCAGAACCACACTCAGTTTTTGACTGGGGGAAACCAATTTATCTACTCCAAAAGGTGGCCACAGAGCAAACAAACACGATGCTGTGTAAAGTCACCTGAGAGTGCTCAATGGAAGCAAAAAAACCCCAACATTTTCCCTTTTAATTACTTTCAGATCTAAAACTGTTAACAAATCTCATGTCAGACAGTAGGGAAAAAAGAAATAAGTGGAAAATTGAACACTACCTCATCAGATTCATCAGCACAGTCAAGCTCTCCGTTACATTTCAAAGACGCCGGAATGCAGCCTCCATTTGCACACACGTACTCACTTGAAGAGCAGGTTGGAGATGCTGGTTACAAACACATATTTTAGCATTAAGAAAAAAAAAATTATAAATAAGTTGCTTTATAATTTAGTGCTTTCATCTGGTTAACATAGTGAGCAAATATATTTGTAGCTGACCAGAGCTTTTCCAAACATTCATAAAGTACAATGAAATATATGACAAAACAAGTTGTTGGATCCTAAGTAAACTCTACGATAGTGAAAGGATATTTGTGTTTTATCACTGAGTAATTTTTGTGTTTTCCTTACACTTGGTACCAGTGGTAGCTACACACACACACACATATTCATAGAATAGGCGTCTATCAGTTGCACTCATCTAGATGAAGTTTAAAAAAGTTTAGAGAAATTCCTGCAAAAATAAACAACTGCATTTTCCAATACAGTAATAAGGAAATAAAGCAATAACAACAAAAATAATAATGTACTAGAGAAAAACTTTGCATAAAGACTAGTAAGATTTGAAGGAAAAATCACAAAGCAAAAAATACCCAGAGACACTTTAGCAGCTTGCTGAGAATTACTGCTCTTTTCAGTGCAGAATTTTATAAGCTGAGTATACATTACCAAAATTATATTTTGATATAATTAAATTAAATCCTAAGCTTTATATTGCATAGCTGCACATAAGTGGCTTTTCAAAACATGAGTAGGAAGAAACGATGATACAGATTCAAAAGATAAAGTACTTCTGATTTTTTTGCACTCCTCCTAATTCTTGTGCACAAGGAATCTTTATTTGTTGATTTATTTTCTCCTGATTTCCTTCTGATTTATTCCTTGCTCCATTTTATTTCTCAGCATTATTTAAAACAATACCTGGTTCACAGTTTTTCTCATCATCCCCAAGTTTGCAGTCTTCATGGCCATCACATTTCCACTTTGCTGATATGCACTGACCATTGGAGCACTGGAACTGATCTCTCGAGCAGCCTGTGTCACAATACCTCTGGTACAATAAACACAATGTAGATACAAGATCAAGAGTTCAATATAAAATTGGTAAATATAGAGCTGACCATAGAAGTTACAGTCTATACTCCTCCACACTATGAAATACAGTAATGCCTTGTAAAATAAAATGCATTTGTAGATGTGAATAATTAAAGGTAGCTTGCACTCTCTAAATAGATGGGAAGCATCTGAGGGTCCAGCACTGGCAGGAAAGCAAAAGGGACAAAAGGAACATGAAAAAAACAGAAAAACAGAAAAGCATTATCCAGTAAGCTTCTGCTACACAACACAGTCTGCAATGTTTGCTCAAAAAACCCCACAAACTCAAGCAAATCCCTGTTGTGTATACAAAAGACGTTCCCCAGCCAGGACACAAAATATTTCCAGGTTGGGAAGAGGTTCAGGTCATTGCTGGGACAAAAAGGTGTAGACTACTGTTAAACATGACTTGATTTTATTCGCATGTTCTCTTTTTAGAATAACTATTTCAACAGGTTTAGTTTTAACTTAGCAAAGATATTTACATATATAGATGCATGAGTAGAATTCCCATTGCTGCTCTTTAAAATACTCATATGTTGGAATCCATACTCCAACAGTATATAAGTACTTATTTTCTAAAGAAATATTTTTCCTGGAAGACGCCTACCTCATCTGAGCCATCTGCACAGTCATAGTCTCCATCACACCAGAATCTTGCTGAAACACAGTCTCCATTTGCACAAAGAAAGTCTTTCAAAGTGCATGTCTGAGGCTCTGAATAAAGAAAAGTAACAACCCTAGGTTTATTAGCATTTCCGTAACATATGTAATACATAAAACCCCCCAGTTAACCAATTAATGACTATAAGAAAGTAAAAATCACTAAGTTGCAAACTACAAGGATATTATTTTCTGTAGGATTTCGTTTCATAACATTTTATAACCAAATTTCATTTACATTTACTGATGGAGAAAGGGTGAAAAAGGAGATTAAGAGCAGACAGTAGCAATGGACAGTAATGGGATGGGTAATGCTAAAGCCAGCTATGGGGTTGGGAGCATGAATACTTTTGAAAAATGTACCATAGTGACCAAGGAAAACAAACACAGAATTAGAGGCTTCCAGTTGAGAAGAATTTGGCAAATACCAGCATGAGAATATACTAGACATGAGTTGTGCAGATCTAAGGTGAAGTTGAACTTAGGATTGTTTCTGTCTTTATAAAATTCAAAAATATTTCAAGAAAATAACTGTTTTCATGGACCTTTCACCTATTTTTTTCCCTTCATAAAAAAGTCAAAATGACCTTGTTCAATGGTTTTAAAGTAAAATTTCATTTTTCAGGTAGGCACAACTTAGCATTTTGAAGTTGTAGGAAAGTCATAAAAAAGCAGATCTACAGCGGTTGCATCAGTTCAACGACAATGTTATATTTAAGCAAATTCAAGGTTAGCATTTATATGGATTCTTAGATTACATACATACTGCTTTGAAATTTTCCAAAGCAAAAGCTCACTGTATAAATGTTAGGAAATCACTGACATTTGATTATTTTTGTTGTCAACAGGCCAGGAAGAGGAAGTTCATGATATGATAAATTATGTAAAGGAAATCATTTGCGGGAAAAGTAATTCACATGCAAAGAAACTTTTGTCATGTTTCTATATGATTTGCAAAATACAACCAAATACATTTTCTATACTGCTAATGAATTATTTATGCACAGAGGTTTGAACCTGGAGAAATGTACACAAGGAGCCAACTTCTCAATTCTCTGTTTGCAAGAAATATTTCTTCTGCTGCTGGAATGCATCTCTGATTTACATACGAACACAGAAGAGCATTTTCCCATCAGTGCTCAGACTGTTAGTGAAAGGAGTAAGTATTAATAGACTTCTGTATCATCAATGAAGGGCAACATCTTTCAGCTTCTGCTTTCTAAAAACAGTGAAACTGCTTACCAAGAAAAGCATTTTTGAATTATTAGAAAGAATTTTATTTGAAACACAGCACGTAAGATGATCTACTTCTTTCATATTTTAAAGTTGGAAAATAATCTAGAGAGAGAGACATTTCTCAGCAACTTAAATGGCAGCAAGAAAAGGCTCTCATAATAAGCACTTAATACTATTTTATATTCAGAGTTGAGTTTTGCATTTAATAGATACAGATATTACATTAAGTAATGAACTGAAAGGATTTTTCAGGAGACTGATGTACTGATATACAAGTAAGAGGGGAAAAAATCTCATAACTTTTTTTCTTAAAATGGAATATGAAATTCAAACTTCTAGTGACTTCTTACCTGTATTTGTACAGGTTAAGTATGTTTGCTCCTTGTATGGATTCTGTAACAGCTGTTACAAAGCCAACTTTTAGAGAAACTAATTTGTATATTGTAAAAGGTGGAAATTGTACATGGATAAATAAATAACTGCAGTGCACATGTGGCATAGGAGCACTTCGACCAAAAGGAATTTGAGGTGTACATTGACCTCTTGATTCATCCTGGCATTTGGCAGTAGATCACAAAAATTTAGAGGGATTAGGGGACATACTTAAGCCACGCTTTCTTGAGGTGAATGGGTATTCATCAGATCTACTACTAGATGGCTGTGCAAAGCAAAGTAGTGGGAATTCATTCACTATTTCCCATTGGCAGGTTGGTGTTTAGGTGCTTCCAGGAAAGCAGAGCTTCATCATCTGTAACAGCTTTGGGAAGACAAATGCCATAACTCTGAACATCCTTCCTTCCTCCTTTTTTCCCCCAGCTTTTTATTGCTGCACATGATCCCAGTCGTGTCCCAACTCCCAACTTCTTGTGCACCCCCAGCCTACTCGCTGTGGGGTGGGGTGAGAAGCAGAAAAGACCTTGATGCTTTGCAAGCACTGCTCAGCAGTAACGGAATCATCCCTGTGTTATCAACACTGTCTTGGTCACAGATCCAAAACACAGCACCATAGGAGCTACTATGAAGAAAATTAAATCTATTGCAGCCAAAACCAGTACACATGACAAAAATGGAAGAAGAGGGAAACAGAAGAACACCCTTCCTTATGATTCTGCATTAAAGTACTGCTAAAAACACTAACATGGACCATCCTGCAGAATGAATGCCTGTAAACACAACATAATTAAAGAGGTCATAGGTGTGCTTTCTTCCATATATTTAATATGGCATTAAATGCAGATTTTCTTTATTTATTTTCAATAACTTTACTTAGCACCGTATTTCAGCAAAAGAAAGATGATACTTGTTCTTTGTCAATCTAGGGATAAGGCTGGTGGGTGTACATAAAACAAGAAACCTTTGGTACATGTCATTTAATCATACTAAAGTAGCATAGCTCCTTTGGCTGGCATTGACATCAAGCTGCTTTTAGAAAACTGATACTAGCTATTGTCTGACTTGCACCAAGTCAGCTTAGACTTAATCAATGTAAAATATGTGAATTTACAGCACTGTCTACTTAAAAGTGACACCATGAGGCATTCCAGCTTAGTTTCTTTCAATATATTGGTTTAAAACATTTTCACTTAAACTTAAATAATTACTAGTTCTCTTTGTATTTGGTATACAAACTTATCCCAGGACTAAATTAACTAATTTGTTTTCTTGACAACTTGCAGGAACAACAAAACAGCATTGAGAAGATTCTCTAGCAACAGTAATATTTTCACACTGATTGAATTCATGCCATTCTACAGCATTATTATGTTTGCTTTGCTTCAATGCTTACAGTGTATTATACTTTCTTTAATTACATTCAGTAAAACATTAGTGGTGCTGTCTTTTCAGCAAGACTAAGATAGTCATTACTATGGAATTTTTCTTTTTTGAAGTTATCTGAAAGAGAAACTACTTTTTTTTTGCTCTATTTTTAAAAAAAATCCAAATAAACTCTGAAAGCAAATTCCACCACCAAAAAAGATATTAACTCAGAAGAGTTAAAAATGCATTCTTCTTTGCTTAGTGCTAAGTCAGTATGGACCCATAAGCTTCCTGGTAACTCTTATGTATTTGGGACGGTGCAAATATAGTTAAAGAACAATAGTCTGTGAGACAAATACACTTAAATAACAAAGTCATAATGAGCACAACTATTTGCATTATACCACTAATAATTTTTCACACCCGGATGTGATATTTTTTACATTCACCGTGTTTCACTTCCGATAACTTCAACAGGATGCTGTGTGTGCATGAGAAGAAACCATACAGAGAAATGTAAATACTTGAGCTGAATCTTTGTTATTCAATGAGTTCATTCTGCATTCTTGAGAAACAACTCATTTTCTGATATAGTTGCCTGACAAGCATATATTCATATATTCATGTATGTTATGAACAACTTACCATAATGTGCTATGTAATATATTTTGTCAAATGCTTTTGAAGTTCTAATTTTGTATATATTTGTTTCATTACAATTTATTCTATAAGTGGCTTGACAGCCTATAAAGAATTTCATACGTCTATTTCAAACAACTGAGCAGTATTATGTATTTTCCAAATGCTTCCAAGATTTTGAATTTTACAACTATGTCAGCATACAGTATTCAATTTTAACAGCAGAACATGTGATTCAACAGTTAGAAGTGAAATATGCATTTGAGAAGCAAAAGAAAATGAAAAAATCTAGCACAAACTACAGTTCCCCAGTTTGATGCACTGTCTGTGTCGGGGTACTCTCAGCTCACTAATTCCATCCAGTACAACTAACTACAGATTTCTTTAACTGCAAGTCTAGAGAACAGCCAAGAACTCAATATATGGCTTAATTATTGACGTGAGCACAAAGATGGCCAACCTAATAAAAATTTTTTTTAAAAAGAATGGATATATGATAGCTCCCTCATTATTTGAACCTTTAACCACTTTGTTCAATGATAATCTAAACTTTAAGGAAGAAAATTATTAATACTGGGTGACAAATAAATCCTACTTCACACATGGCAAATTTAAAATAAGATGTTTGACACTTATTTTGTGAACAGCAATAATGTTTTGTGGAAGCTGTTTTTTCTAAATCTTCAAAAGATTATCTAGTCATGTAGATGCCATAGCAAAACTATGTCTCTTTATTTGATTTTTACCTAACAATAAAAGAACATCAAATAATTTCTTGATATTTATAATATAAATGGAAATGGAAAAGTCCCACTGGCACTATTAATCAATTCCTAAGTAAAACCTGTCACAAAGTTAAGAAAGCTTTTGTGTGTCTAATACCCCTGGGGTACAACAATAAATGGCTCCGAGTGATTACTGAGCCACATGACATTTCCCCATTTAGATGAAACACTTGCATACGAAAACTACAGCACTATCGCTTGCAGTAACTCACAACATTTTCAAATGTAGGTAGTAATTAAAAGGCAGACAAATCCACTTTAACCTTTCAAGCAGAATGAGCTAATCTGCAGACGTCCTGTACCTATGGACACCATGTCTTAAACTGGAGAAAGGGGCAAACAGCCCGTACTCAGCAGTAGAATGCCTAATTTCTTTAACTTTCAACATTATTAACTTAAAGATACTAAACATATATTCATGATATACAATCAGGAATATGCATTCAAGATTATCTACACAACAAAATATTAATTTCTTGGATTTCTAAGTAAAGAAGATAAAAAAAAAGAATTTGTTAACTGAAGGAAATACACTTCAGAACTACTCGTGGAATTTACCTCTTGAAATGTTTCATAAAGGCAATGACTATGAGGTAAAACCCATTAAGAATTTGTCACTTCTTCCCGAGAACCAGATCCAAATTAACTTACTGAAAGCGGTAGTACAGAGATTTATTAGGAATTCAGATTCCTCCCAGGTAGAAGAGAACTAGGCTAACTGGGCTCCTTTGAATAACATTATCTACTTCTTAATGTAATTAAATATTACAGAAATGGACTTCTTGTGATACAAAACAAGCAAATCATCTCAGGAATACAATGACTGTAAAGGGCAAGTAGTGTTTTACTGAACTTTATTGCTAATAAATATTTATCATTTTATCACTGAGCAGTTTTTATGATCCTAATCTAGAGATAAGAAATGCTACATGTAACTTACTGAGAAAGGTAAACTAATTGTAATATTTATTTTGAATTAATCAGATTATTGAGAAGTTATAGGTCAGGCATTTTTACACAGCAGATACAGAATTACAGCTCTTTATAAGAATGAAGAAAATTGGACAATTTCAGCAAGGGACATTTTCAATTCTCATCAACTGATTTCCAACGAATCAGATATTTATAGAAATATGTGCAGTTTATAAAATTTGAAAAGTTTCCTTTTACATGTTGCTAAACCGACTCCATTCCTTATAACATGTACTTAGGTAAAAGTTACTTACTACAGTTTTCTTCATCAGAATTATCACCACAATCATTTTGGCTGTCACATCTCCAATGATCTGGAATACAGTTGTTGTTTTTGCACTGGAATTCATGAGGCCCACAAGTCTTTTTATCTGTAAGAAAAAAATCATTTCCATCACTGCAGATGAAGAGTCAAAAGTGGAAAGAATGCTACTAGACAGATGATACTACAGATGATACATTTAAGAAGCAGCAATCATCATACCTGAAATGTAACTATCAGAAATAATGTATTTCTCATACCACGTTCTTTAAGATTCTATTCATTCATTCATCCCAAAAGGACTGTATACACTGTCATATCAAGTAAAAAAAATAAAAATAAATAAATCGAGAATGATCATGAAATAGTTTGAAGAGAAGCTGTGCTTGCACGGAATCTCAAAAACTGCATTGACTTTTCCTTGAATTTATCTGTAAGATTGCTTCACAAAATCACATCACAGTAGTCCTCAAAAATATTCATTTGAAAATGTACAAAATACGTATTTCTCAAAAGTTGTTTTTGAATGTAACAATTTAAGACTAATCCTACCTGGCAGAAAACTTCATGTTTCGATTTACATTTTCATCTTCTGATGTCTTAGATTGGAATTCTACTTATATAAAGTAAAACATGATAAAGCAAGTAATGCTAAACTGAGATTAATTTTCTTCACACAGTAAATGTCAATGAGCTTTCCTGTTTACAGAGTAGCATTACAGGCAAAGTCTCTTGGAGATGCATGAACATCCTGAATTCTTCCATCAGGAAGGAGCTGCCTCTGTTTTATTTATATTTTTTATTTCTTGAGTAATTCTCTCTGATTCTAAGGACTGAGATGAAGTGAAGTAAATTAAATAGTTATCAGTGACATTTGTCTTCGGGAAAAAAAAGCCTGCTTTGTAAAAGCCTCAATGACATATTTAAAATTACATGTCACTGTGATGATATTTCAATAGAAATTTTTTAAATTCCTATTAGGCTATTTCATAGCATGTCAATTCAAACTTCACACTGCTATCATGACAACTTGATGAGTTCTAATAAGTGACAAAATGAAGGAGGGCTGAAACTAGCTTAAATCAACCTGTGTTCTCTACCTGTGAAATGGAAAGGACCACAACTTAAAGGTATCAGATTTGATGCCACAGCCCAAAGAGCTGCTTTTTGTGCTTTTTTATTACGTGTGGTTCTGGAATGAGACTGATAAAACAAAACTACATTGGAATATTAAGAAGGTGGAGGGAAGCGGTGTTGCAGCTCAGCTGTGTACACTCAAAAATCCGGTAATTCCTTACTGCCTTTTACATTTATTCCTTATTCTCTGCCAACATTGTGATTGTAAATAGTTTTCTCCCAAAATACTTTTCCCTATGAAGATTCTCAAGAAGATATTTCAATTATGACATTTCACATACTTGCATGGGCAAGCACTTAAAAACATTTAGCATTACGAACCATAAAAATATCCTCCTTCCACCTCCCAAAAATAAGACACTCTTGTATTTTGTTTCTGTACCTTTGCAAAATATCAAGTTTCACACACTCTACTTCATAAATCTGAAAGCTTTAGGCTTCCTTTGGATTGACTGATCTCTCCCAGCAGCTTACACTTCAGAATGTCTTACAAATCAGATTTGCTTGTCTCATGTTTATATATACATATAAATATATGTAGCAATTATATATATGTAGCTACTAGAGCTAAGAAATACCAAAGAGGAAGATTTGGGAAAGTTATGTAACAAATATCTGATTTTTGAGAAAGACTGACTTACTCAACTCAAAAGGAAACAGTGCAAAGAATTTTGTTTTGAATCATGGCACCCTGAAAAGCACACATGGGCCTCCAGACATTTTGTCATTTCCACCTTCAACACTAAATTGCTTTCTACTTTTCTTAAAACAAGATCACCTTAAAACATGAAAACTCAGATAGGAGTGGTACAAAGATGAAGAAGTAAGTAACAATAACTCAGTTTTCCTATTTCTCTCTTCAAATTATTATTAGGAGATTCATTGATCTACTGCAAAAGTTAAAGGCCCCTTCTCAGATACTTGTGTGATCACCTGAGATAACTGCTGGTTGGCTGGCATGTCTTTTGTGAATACCTAACTAGGATTTTATTTTAGAAATAATTCTAAATAAACATGAAGAAAATAGCATAAAGGCTTAAACAAAAAGCCAACCAACCAACCAACCAAGACAAACCACAAAATAATACCTAAAGCAGATTATAATCACTTTCCAAGACAGCATAGAGCTTCCTTCAGATTCTAACTCAAACAGGGACTTTTGTGATGTAAAGTTTTAAAGTTGTGAGCAAGGATTACCATAACCTAATGTCTTCTTTTAGTTACCTGGACAGCAAGCATGAGTTAACTCTATTTACTGTTCTTTGAAAAAAACCCATACACTCATTAATGAGCATAAATTTCCCAACTGTACTTCATTTGTCTGAGTTGGAAAGTAACCATAGAAGACTAAATAAATTCAAACTACTGCTGAAAAATTCACTCAATACAGTATCTCCAATAGCAGACAGTAGCAAATGTTGACTAAGCAAGATATACATGACTATGGAGCATTTAAGCAAAAAAGACATTACTCTTTATACAAGTTTTCATTTTAAGCCTTTTTAAAACGAACTATAAATGATCACAAGTTACTATTAGCTACAACATATGCAAATCTTTAATATACTTGGCTTGCAACTTTATAATTTAATCCTATCAAACTTTGGTCATAAAAATAAACATCTTTAAAAGACAAAACAAACAGAAGACCAAACTGTGTTAAAACTACTGTTATCTTAAGGTCACTTAAACATATTTCAAATGCTAAAACTATGGAAAACTTTAAAATGTGAATAAACTCGTCCTGTTCTTGTTAAGACTTAGTTGTTCTATGTGTACATAGCCATGTGTAGCGTAGAGACTGTGAATGTAGATAAATTGTTCTGTCTCCTTCAACACAAAACTTGTTGTATTTTTTATATATATATATATATATATATATACACACACACACGTATATATAGAGGGAGTATTATATGCAGCTACCAGTTTTAAAGTAAACATGCAGGTGGATTTTCAGGGAGGTGTGTAATTAAGCTGAAGAACTCCTTGTTGCAGCATGTTGTGAAAACTTTACAAAGGCTAAAGGAGACTGAAATCCATCGAGGGTTATTGCAGACAGAGACATATTTGACTCCCAGTATCTCTGATTCTCAAATTGTTAGAGGCTGGAAGAGCATCCCAGGGAAGTTTCATTGCAGGCCTGCTTTGTTCACATATTCTTCCCAGATCCTATCTTTGAGTCACCGACAGAGGCAAAGTAAAAGGCAAAAATGACTCTTAGATATAAGCCAGCATAACCAGTTGTGCATATTGTGACTGAAAAATTAAATTTTGGATTGCATATATTGCACCTCTATACTATTTAATTGTTTGAGTAATTTGGACATTATTGTTTTTATTGGCTAAAATTATGAATCACTGAAAACAGCTGTTATAAATACTTCTTTTCCTGTTCAGCATTACTTTGGGGTATTTCTTTTCCTCTTTGCTTTTAAACTTTGTGTCTTGATCATATTATTAGATTAATTATTTTAAGATCCTTTCTGCCATATCAGTTGGCCTTGCATGGGTTACTCAAAATACGAATCCACAGTTTTTGCTGTCCAAATTGGAAAGAAATGACACGATAGAAACCAAGGTGATAGAGGACAGTGCAGGAGAAAGCACTTGTGAAGCAGACCAGAAGGTGAGCAGTGTGGGGGTAGCTCAGTAACAGCCCAGAGAAGGATATAAAGAGTTTTAATGGCAAAGGTTCATCTATTTTGCATTTACTGTTTCTTCAAGCCAAATGATGTCTTGGACTGTAACTTCTCTCCAGTTGATATAATTAACTAGTTTCCTCTTCTTGACAATGCAAACGATGGTCTTGGATTTTCAGTGTTGAAGAAGAATTAAATTTTCTAGGCATATTCACCTTGTCCAACATTTTCATATATGTGCTTGTCTCAAGTGCTTCAAACACGTCCATGGAAATCTGTCTGTTTCTTAGGGCTTTGTCCTTGATTACAGACCATAATTTTGTTACTCTGTTGTCCCCCTGGTAGCATAAACTTGTCCAGACTCGTGTATCATCAAAACATATACTGACACATAGATGAATAATGGTCAGCTTCGAATGTTTTGTACAACTATTTTTCCTGTTCTCTTCCACTTCAGAACATATTTCCATCGTTTCCTTTACAGACCTTTCTTCAAATTTCCACAAGTTTTTCTACACTTGGTGAGTGCAGCTCTTGAATTGACATCTAGATCCAATGATACCGATCCACTTGTTTTGACTTTGATTATCTTCAATCCATTTCCCAGGTGGAAAATTGTATTTACAATTTTATTTCGTTTACAACAAAGGAGGTGACTTGGTACGTTCCAACAATGCAAGCAATGAGTGAGAGCAGCTACTACTACTATGAAGTGTGATCTTTTTTCCAAGTCATGATGTGAGGACGAATAGCAAGAGTATAAACCAGTATCACATATAGACCAATGTGAAAAGCACTTGGATATTTTCAACTTTCTATGAGTCTGTCTTAATAAAACAATTTTAATTGTTTCTGCAGAAATAGGATCAATTCCTCTGTTCTGTCAATGAGAAAAATGTTAAAAACTGTAGATTTATAGTTGTGATCCAACAATGAATATTTGAAAAAGTAATGAAAAATGCCAGGATTTAAAGCCAGTACTTAGTGTTCTAAAAAATCTGCCTCAGTGGGGAAGAACACGGTGGTTCTGGATATTGTGTAAAAGCTGACCGAAGTTAAAGTTTGGTTTGGTTTAATAATGGTGTGATTCTATCCTTGATCTTCTCTACAGAGAATCTGCCTCCTCAAACTATCAGATTTAAGTACAGAAGTTTCTTAACAATCAGAGGTTCTTGGAGAAGTCCTATGGGGATGCAAAGTTTGTGGAGTGCTGTGTTAGGACATGTAACTCCTTGGAGCTCACAGAGAAAAGCAAAAGTTGGTCATGTCAACTTCGAATCTGCTCTGGACCATTCTGCACAGCCAGTCTTAACTAACACAATTTGCAAAGTACTACATTTTTCACTATTTATTGACTCCAGCAGGAACAAAGCATGCAGAGTAAACTGACAGGCACTGGGTAATACTGTAAGAAAAATCAAGAATACCACTGTATTCCAAATGAGATATTCATTTACAGCTTCTGTCAATAAAGTAGTAATATAACATGAAGTTTATAGACTACACATGTAAAGATTACGATTCAACAAGAACCGTATGAGCCAGACACACCTATTATATCAAAGGTATTATCAAATATTGAAAGAGGACATACTGAGTGAGATTATTATTTCTTTTAGCTACTTAAAAAAAAAGTCAAGCTATAGTAATATATTAAAAGCTACTGACATACTCACCACAGTTAGCTTCATCTGATCCATCAGCACAGTCTGGGTCTTCATCACATACCCACAGTTTAGAAATGCAGTGTTTTGTCGTTTTACACTGGAAATGGTCTGGAGAACAACTGTTTTCAGCTTTAAATAAAAGAATTCCAAATTAAAACTACAAATTTTTATTATTATTCAAAATATTTGTTTTAAAGCAAAAAAAAAAAAAGTCCAGGTTGGACGAGGCCTGGAGCAGCCTGGGCTGGTGGAGGTGTCCCTGCCCATGGCAGGGGTTGGACTGGAGGAGCTTTAATGTCCCTTCCAACTTAAACCATTCTGTGATTCTATTATATATTAAGGATTCAAAATTCAGAAAATTGATATCTCTAGCATCACTTACATAATATCTGTAAGAAAACAGCATTATTATTATTATTATTATTATTAAGGTTTATATTGTTTATAATTTGTGTTCTTTTTATATATTATTTTGTATAAAACAGGACAAGCAAACAAAGTGTCTATTATGATATTCAAATAATTTGAAAAAAGTAGATTTAACATTGATAGAATAAAACAATTTTATTAAAAAGCAATCAGATTTAATTTTTAAACTTCCTACAATACCAGTTATCAATTCTGAAAGTCAGTCAGTTAGTTTGAAGGACTAAGGCAGCTATCAGTGCTTTGTACAGAATTCCGATTACATTTTTGGTCATTTATGGTAAAATTCTGTGCTTTCTGTCAGAAAGACCATGAGTAAATTGTGAGAAAAGTTTATTTATAGTTTTATCACTTTATCAGTTTAGCAGAACTGTTGGAATGAATCCTACAGCAAGATAAAGATGCAAAGATGTTGCTAGCCTTCATCTGATTCTTTCAGAACGCTTAACTGCTTTAACTTTACAATAGCCACTTGGCAATAAAACAGATTCTCAGTGTACTCAAGTGATTCGACATCAATTCCAGACCTTGCTATTTCTTAAACTCTTATAACTAAGTCTATAGAGGCAAGATGAATAAAGAACATATACCTAGACTGGACTCTGAGCAACCTATTTGTGATCAGATACACAAGGATTATTTTAGAGATAAGTATATGTACAAGAACATTCCAACTGTTCTAAACTGAATTGAACATAGATGGAAAATATTATGACCTAGGTTTTTTTTATGTTTTCCTACATGAATGTTAGTCCCACTTTTACCTAGTGAACTCCGTAAGGTTTTTAACAAACTTTCCTATCCCTGTCGCTCCTTGATATGATCATTCTTGTTTCTTGTGCTTGGCAAGATGAAAAATTTTAGATTTGTTGAAAGTCGGTGTATTATTTCATGGAAGTTCATGTTTCCGTACATAATTTTACAGTGCTGGAATTAAAAAGCATTTAGACTTGGCTATGCTGCTAACTCTACTTATAAAAAAATAATACTGATTCTCAGGTAGGACACCTCACCAGGGTATTTCAAAGTGCTTTACAAGGAAGACCAGCATAATTACCTCAATTTGACTTTTTCAAGGTCACTTGATATAGAAAACAAAATGGTAGTAGAGCTGAAGAAAAAATGCTCTGTATCTTATGAATCCTTTTCCATTGAAATTAGAATGAAATGGATAATCTCATATGTTATCTGTCTTGTGACAGGAAACAAGTCAGTATAACTTTTTGGTACACCTACTTAAAACATCCCCTTTTTGTAATCTCCCCAAAGGCAACTGAAGAGTTTTCAGAAACCACAAGTGAGTTTTTATTAAAATATAAGCTAGCACACTTAACTTTCTTAAGAGAGAAGCTAATAAAGTCTAGGTAAGTCAGAACAGAAATAAAAAATGTCTTTAACTAACCTCCCACGAATCCCACTGTGTCTTTGCAGTTGGGTTGATGGCTGAGTTTCAGACAACTCAAAAGCTTGCTTTATATCACAGCAGACTGTCCGATTCCCATTAATCGCTGGAAAGTTTTCAACACCATCACTGCTGATCCTGACCCTATCCCTCCCCCAGAGTCCCTGAGCACTGCTGTGCTGCTGACTCTGCTGCTCTGATTTAATTTCTGCCAGCTCTACCTCAAGGTTTTGGGCATCTTCCATGTACGATGTGTTGTTCTTTATTTAAAAAAAAAAAAAGAAAAAAGCTCCCTTATCTTCTACAGGGGCTTGGCTGATCCCACTTAATCAGTTTTTAAAGAAATGTAACATGCAAACCTGACACTGTCTGTCATAGGCTACAGCTTTGCTGAGCTGTCTGGGAGATGGCCATTAAACATGACCACCAGCAAAGCCTTTGCATCCTCAGCAACCCTTCCCACGTTCTTTGCAGCAATGCAGCACATGCAAACCTGGAGAAAGCCAATTCAGAAACTACAAATAAGGACCTTAGATCAGCAGTAGATCTGAATGATGAATTGAGTGAACGACAGAGGTGTATCTCCAGACAGCACCATCATTTTAATTATAAAATGATCAACATCATAAGCTATTCAATACATTTTCATTCTAAATCTGAAAATATTTTTTTCTACTTATATCTAAGAAATATGGAGTGAAAGTGAATTTATGAATAGTAAGATGTTTTAAAAGATGAGTAAATGGAAACCAAGTCACATAGGCAAATTAACGAAGAAGTCCCCAGAGGAAAAGGAATAGAAAAGGTAAAAAACTCCATCAAAGAAAAAGGATGTAGAAGGAGAAATGGAACCATATCTTTTGCAGTAAAGGACAAAGAAAGATCATTTTTCCATTGAAATTCATTGCTGCAAGGCACGGAAGATGAAAGCCTCAAAAAAATGAGTCATTTGTGAGGTGGTTAAGAGTAAAATGGATGTTGTGGCCTAGGCCAGAAACCCAATTTAATGCCTGAAATTAATTGTTTACACATCCCTCTTCTTTAAAAAATGAAGTTAATAAATGACGTTTTTGTTTGTTCTCTTGTATATGAAGCATTGTAAATCAAACAATTCTGTAAATTAATTATTTTACATATTCCTCAAATTAATTTACAGAGAGGATATTGACAGTATTTTACATAATTTACTTCAGTTTCTTGTTTAAAATGAGCAAGTTTTCAGAGAAAAATTCTCTGAACATAACTTACGGCAGTCTCTTTCATCTTCTTCATCACCACAATCATCCTGTCCATTGCATCTCAGATTTATAGGAATACACTTCTGATTCTTTGTGCACTTGAACTGACCTGAGAGGCACACATGTGTGTCTGCAAGATAAAAGAATAAAAATATAAATTTAAAAAGATTAAAAGATTAACAGATTTTAAAATCAAAAGGTAAAAAAAAATAAATTTAAAAAAGTTTCTTGTCAAAATTTAAAGCATTTAGTTTAAATCAATTTAGGATGTTTCTGGAGTCAGTCAAAATATATAATCACCTACCACAGTTCAGTTCATCAGAATTGTCCCCACAATCATTCTCTCCATCACAGATAAAGGCTGGAAGAGCACAAAGTCCAGTACCACACTGAAATCGTCCTGGCTGACACCTGAATTCAGCTGAGAAAAAAGGAAACTGCTTATCACTATGATCCGAGGAATGGTTAATGTGTCAAAAGTGTTGTTCTTCCTCTATGGACGAGTCAAAAGAACTTATAAAACCTTTGCTTATATAATGTTAATATGAGTAGATATTAGTAACTAGAACGTACATGTGCTATTGCAAAATTAATGTCAAAGCCTGAGATTTTAAATTTGCATAACTATAGCTCTACCTTACTAATGATACAGAGTGCAACCCTCTACAGGTTGATGCTTACTATTATCTCAACAGAGACTTGCAATTTAGGATATAAACACTTCAGTTCAAGTTTGCATATAGGAAACTAATCTATGCCACTCTAACTCTACTTTCCATGAAAGGCCTAAGGTTGTTTCTTCTCATAGCCACTGCCATTTGAGTGAATGAGCAATTATGCACTTTTATAGTAATATTTCATATGAGCGTAGTGTAGCTTAAAGTACAATCTTATGTGGAATGATTATATATGTTAAAGCTTGCTTCAAAGGCCTCTGCAGCAGAAACAGAGAATTAATTATAAAACTGTAGAAGTCTGGCTGGGAGATTTCAATACCAAAAAATCAAATGAGCTGTTATGTAACTGAAAGATTGTAAAACATAGCAGAGCATTTTGTGTGTACAAGCTTGAGGGAAGATGGCAAGAATCTTTTGATTTATGTAGATTAATATAATAATATTAAAGTAGTTAGTGACTGGGACTGAAAAATAGCAGATATCATCAACAGATATTACTGTTTATGAAATCAGTACTTTTCTAACAAGTAAGTAAGCTTGTAGTCAGCTACCATGACAGCAGCCATCTTCTGGGATGCTGACACCATCATAATTGACTTCCAGTTGTCTGCCATTCAACAGAGGAACACTACAGTAACCTACTATTTGCACCATGGGAGGGTATCAAGAAATATGCTGTACCTGCATCACCTTCAGGATAGTGAAGGGGAGAGCTTATCTCCCTCTACAACTACTTGAAAGGAGGTAGTAAGGTGGCGGTTGGTCTCTTCTCCCTCATAGCTAGTGACAGGTAATGGCCTCAAGTTGCACCAGGGGAGGTTTTGGTTGGATATTAGGAGGAATTTCTTTACTGAAAGGGTTATCAAGCATTGGAACAGGCTGCCCAGCGAGGTGGTGGAGTCAGAGGTGTTTGAAAGATGAGGAGATGTCGTGCTTAGGAACATGGTCTAGTGGTGGACTTAGGGCTGGATCAATGGTTGGACTCAATGATCTTAAAGCTTTTTTCCAACCAAAACTCTTCTATGATTCTAAATAAACCCCAGCAACGTTGGAAATTACTTCTCAAACAGAAAATCTTTAGCAAAAAAAAGTAACTGAAATCAAGTAAAAGTTTAAGTCATGAAAAAGACATGCATAAGGTTTCCCAAATATCTTAAAAGACCCTTAATAGACGTGAGTTAATGAAAAATCTTTTACAGGCTGACAAGCAAGAGCCTGCACTCTTTGTAAGTCTGAGAGACACCAAGAAAACAAAACAGTGCTGCAAACAACAGCTTTTTTAAAAAGGCAAAAAACCCCTCTCTTCCTATCATCTCAAAAGCGTTACATTCGATTTAGACTCTGCTGACAAAACCGCGTTCCGAATTCAGAGTGCAC